TGGGAAAGCAGTGGAAGATGACCCAAGTCCATCCAGCAGATGAAAGACCTTTCTCTCTCTCTCTCTCTGCCTCTCCTCTCTCTGTGTAACTCAGACTTTCAAATAAATAAATCTTAAAAAAATAAAATAAAAAATGCCTGAAAGGGAAGTTAGAATTAGTCCTTGAAGAGCCTGAACTGAGATAGTTTCCTGCCTTCCAATATTTTTCTCCCTGTTCTTTTGATAGCAGAATCCCCCATACTCTTCTTGTTTTGTTCAGTGTGTCTCCTCCATTACTCCCTGCATGTCCCTCCCCCACCCCTCCAGTATCATCATAGTGCTTTAAGAATCCTCATCTCTTTAACTAGTTTCCTAGCATTTTCTTCACTTTCTTGTTTTATTTCACTTATAGCCTTTCAAACCTCAGAGTCTAGATGGGCAACTTTGTTCTGTTTCCTGCCTGTCCAGCGTTATTAATCTTCTGTTCTTTTTTTCCTCTTAATCTCCGCACAGTTGAAGTTCTTGTTTTTGACCTGAGCCAGCCTTTGTTAGTCCCCATTACTGTCGTCTACTGAACAGCCTCAGAGCCACTTCTCCTTATTCATCAGAGTTCAGCAGTTGTCTTACAGTTTTCTTCTTTACTCTGCTCTTTATGAACATAGCTGACTACTGCCCCTCTGTAGAAAACAGCAGCAAATCCAGCATGCTGGACTTTCAGTAACTTGACTACATCATATCCAGTGGTCTTCCCCACGTCATCAGCAATTCACCATAATTCCCTTTCCTTCAAAATCACTAATTCGCACATCCCGTTCTGATCACAACTATTTCTAGCTATTCTTATACCTATAGATCCCTCTACTTTCTCCTAGTATTCTTCATTTGTCACTTATTATTTTTAAAAAGTTTAGATTTTATGATTTTAATCTTAATACCTGGGGTTTTTTTTGAGGGGGGGAAGGAGTATTTCAGCTAGCCTGTTGCTTTGTCCTTGCACTTGTTAGCTAGAACAGTTAATGCCTTCTCTCTGTATTTTTTTGAATGGTTGAATCTTGCTAGAGAAAGTCACACAGAAAAGTGGTTTGATTCCATTAATAGATTCATTATCAAAAACTTAAATTGGCCCCCAATATTAACACTTTTCCTAAATCATTTTTAGTGGTAAACTTTGTTGAACAATTATTGAAAATATTACTTAAATTTTTTACCTCCCTTATCCACCCTAAGTCTAAACCAATAACTAATGGCTGTGTTGCAGAGAAAACAGAAGCCACTCTTTTAGTTCCTAAAAATACAAATCTGCCCTCTTCCCAATAAGTCTCCTATTCAATTTCTGCCTGTGCTTTGGATCTCCTCATCTTTTTTTGTTTGTTTGTTTGTTTATTATTATTTGATAGAGTTAGACAGTGAGAGAGGGAGACAGAGAGAAAGGTCTTCTTACCGTTGATTCACCCCCCCCAAAATGGCCACTATGGCCAGAACTACGCCGATCCAAAGCCAGGAGCCAGGTGCTTCCTCCTGGTCTCCCATGCGGGTGCAGGGGCCCAAGCACTTGGGCTATCCTCCTCTGCCCTCCCAGGCCACAGCCGAGATCTGGAGTAGAAGAGGAGCCACTGGGACTAGAACCTGGCATCCATATGGGATGCTGGTGCTGCAGGTGGAGGATTAATCAAGTGAGCCACGGATCTCATCTTCTAATCTGTTTCTGTCTTCTCAGAAACTTAGATATTGATGATCTTTGTTCCTAATATGTTCAACCATGCCATCTCAATATCACTTTTTTCATCAACTTGATCCCATCTTCCACTTTTATTACCTTTTTACTACATTCCTTCCTTTCCAGCCAAACTTTTTACACAAGTTGTTTTTACACATCTATAGTCTTATCTGAAGATCATGGGGTAGACTTGACACAATTTTTTGGATTTAGAAAAGGATTAACATACACATACTAGACATGGTGTAATTGCCCAGTGATTGGTGAAGTACTCTGTAATCAAACACATTACTAATTTTTGCCCTGAAATATGTAGCTTTTTACTTCAAATGGGATAAAGACTATAGATAAAATGCTTCATGTCAGTCTGTGTTACATTTACTTCCAAATAAGTTATTAAAAAGCCAAAAAAATATGGGAGCAAAGGTGGTACAGCAGGCTCAGCTGGTCACTTGGGACTCCCTCATCCCTTATCATTGTGCCTGGGATCAGGTTCTACCTCTGCTTTTGATCTAGTTTTCAGCTAATATGCCTGGGAGGCAACAGTTGATGGCACAAGTACTTGGGTTTCTACCACCCACATGGGAGACATCAGGCCTGGCCCTGTCCTGGCTGTTGTGAACATCTGGGAAATGAACCAGCAGATGGAAGATCTCTTTCTCTCCACTCCCCACCCCGTCACTCTGTCATTCAAGTAAATAAATAAATAAGAATAAAATAAAAAACTAAAATGTTGTTATTGCAGTGTCTTGGGGTATAAAATTATAGAAGAGAAGTGGTGGTGCCACCGGTGTTGTGGTACAGTGGGTTAAGCCGCTGCCTGCAATGCTGACGTTCCATATGAGTAAGGGTTGAGTCCCGGCTACTCCTGATACAGCTCTCTACTAATCCACCTGGAAAAGCGACAGAAGATGGCCCAAGTCTGTGGGCCCCTGCCACCCACATGGGAGATCCAGATGAAGCTCCTGACTTTTGGCTTCCATCTGGCTCAGCTTCAGCTGTTGTGGCTGTTTGAGGAATGAATCAGTGGATGGAGAATCTCTCTCTCTCTCTCTCTCTCTCTCTCTCTCTCTCTCTCTCTCTCTCTCTCTCCTTGTCTCTCCCTGTCTCTATGTAACTCTGCCTTTCAAATAAATAATCTTCTTTAAAAAAAACCCTCAAAAACAAACAAAAAGTAGTGTATATATACTTTTGCCTCTTTTCTTATCTTTCTTACATTTTAACATATTCTGGCTTTTCTTTCCCTCACTTCTTTCAAATGACTCTTGCTAGCTCTACCCCAGTCCTTTATCTAAAGTGCTTATGTCACCAGTGAATGTTTTCAGTACTCATCTCAACTGACTCAGCCTCAGATCTTGGTGATGCTACCTTCATCAAATGCTCTCCTCCTTTAGCTTCCTTGGTGCTATCTTCTGTTGACTTGCCTTCACCTTGTTGTAGGTGCATTGTCCCCTACCTTGTGATTAAATGCTGGGATGCTTCCAAGATCTTGTTCTAGGACCACCCCTCTTCTTATTCTCTCCCTTGGTGATCTCATCTAGATCTGTGTCTTCAACTGTTGATTATGTGCTCATGAATCACAAATATGTGCTCCAGCTGAGGCCTCTCCTTTGAGCTTGACCAGTGTGTTGAACTGCCTACTTGATGTTTCCTTTAGAAAGCCTCACATGGTCCAAATTCCCAATATTTCCCACCCCTAATCTGTGTATTTTCAGTTGTTCCTTTACTTTAGTCTTCCTTCTCTATTTCTTCTTCCTCCTCTTTCTTACCTCATTTTGGTAGTCCCTGTTGATTAGCTCAGAATCTGAGATACGGCCTCAATGTCCTGCTGGGCCTGCCCAACTCTTCAATTTCACTTCGTGCCCCTTCTGCTCTCCCTGGTTCCGAAGCACTGCAAGTTCCTCCTCTAAGGGCCATTATGGCAAGCTACTCTCCATGTTTGAAATGTTTTTCCTTTCTGTACCACTTAATTTCCAATTTTTTTGGAAGATTTTAATTTATTTGTTTGAGAGACAGCTAATGAGAGGGAGAGGCAGGGAGGGAAAAGGGGGAGGGGAGAAAGAAAAGAAATCCTTCATCTGCTGATTCACTCCCCACATGCCTGCAGTAGTCAGGTCTGGGCCAGGCTGAAGCCAGGAGCCAGGAGCTCCATCTGGGCACGTTAGCAGGAAGCTGTATTGGAAAGGTGGGGTACCCAGAATTCAAACCAGGTACTCTGATAGGGGAAACAGGTATCTCAGCCAAAGGCTTAACCTGCTTCACCACAAAGCCTGCCCTGTACTAGTGAATTTCTACTCATTTTGGTATCTTACCTCCAATTCTTGCTTTCCTAGGAAACCTCTCTCATTCATTTACATTATCAAATCTTATGGCATCATATACAAATTCTTTGATACTAGTGACATTTATAATTTTATGGTTTTTGATTATTTGATGTTTTCCTCACTACACTGTAGACTCTTAGCACAAGTACTATGTCTGCTGTTGTTCACTCTTGTGTTTCTAGCGTATGGTAGTCACATAGCAGACATTTTGAATGAGTTCTGTACATTACCTCTTTTAATTATTTAGTAGTTTCTGTTTATATGTTTACTATTATAGCAGATGCATTTTCCATAGTTTTATGTAGATCCAATCCTCATGATAATCTTTTTGCAGATTATAAAAATTTATTAAAAATGATTATAAGGATCAAATGCAGTAAAGTCTTTCATATAGTTCATAATTCATTTTTCTGAATTCATTTATTCAACAGTGACCTTTCACCCATATTGTTTATAGATGTCATGTATCTAACTCAGTCTAGTCTTGCATGCAAGTGAAATATATACAGCATTCACCATTCAGCAGATTCTCAACTTGTTCATCAATTTATAAATCTCACAGGATTAAAAATAGTTTAGCCATCTGCTAACTGACCAAACAATTTTAGTATTGTGAAAGGGTGTGGTAGGAGAGGGAGGAATAGGGTCTAGGTGTAATGTCAGAACAAGGCTTAGTGCACAAACCACCTTGTGACCTCTTAATACTGAAACTTAACAGTCAGTTCAAAATTAGGAAGAGATTTGGTATAGGTTAAGCCCAGGAGAGTCCTGACAATAGGGGATTTCCCAGAGTAGAGTGATAAAGGAATCTCTTTCAGCATTTTAATCCCACTGATTTTTTTTTTTTTTTAGAGAAAAGACATGTGTTTTTCAAGATGTGAAATCTGTGAAAATTATCATCATCTATAATTTAAATACTATATAATATGTATTCTAAAAGTCAATTTTAATTAAACTTTTATGTTTTATTCCTTAATTAGGAAAATCAGTAAGTTCCCAGGCATCTCGAAGTGAATCTGAAATTGTGCCAAAAGTTGCTAAAATGACTGTATCTGGAAAGAAGCAAACTATGGGATTTGAAGTGCCTGGGTAAGATTTTAAGTTTCCTTCCCTGTTTTGAAATCAGTATTGTCTCCTATTGGTCTGTAAGAAAAAGAATGTTTCAGTTTTACATAATATATCATTAGCATTGAAGTATCCCATGTCTTCAGTATAACTTAGTACAAAGAGACAGGTTAAGAAATTAGGCTTGATTCAAGTTTTATTTGTATATTCCTTACTCTCATTGTCAGTTTCCTCACATAAATAATTTGTAGCCACTTTAACATTACAAAAAAAACAACCTATGATTTCATGAAATGTAGCATTGTGAGACAGGGAATTTTTATACCACTAGGTGGCACAGGAAAGCAGGGTTTTGGGAGTTACATGTAGTCAGTGAATCATGGAATCACTAGTTAAATTTTTTAATAATTAAAATAATATCTTAACTCTAAAATTTTCATATTCAGTAAAATGAACCATGGTAGAAAAGACAAAATGAAGCATACATAGAATTTCAGAGATCTTATGAGCTGGGTAATAAATCGTATTTTAGTAGCATTTGATTGTTCATTCTTATCACAGCCTCTAGAATTCTCCCAGGGAGTTTTATAGACAAAGGAATTGGTTTGCTTGAGGCTCAGAAGCATTATTTGAAATTATTAATTTTAACCTCTTTAAAATTTTCAATTTTTAATCATTCTCTAAATCTGTAATTTATAAGCCATGCATTTTGTTTGCCAAGAGGATCAAAAAAAAAAAAACATTGTTATCAACTATAACAGTAGAGGGTTTTCTTAACATCAAGAAATATAAACTTTGTAGGCTTATTTTTTCCTCTTTATAGCTTTCTTTTAAGTAAATTAATGGAAGTATCATGAATCTTGATTGGAAAGGCTCAGTGTTCCTCTTTTTCAGTTTTTGGATTTTAAAAAAGCAGAACTTTATTCACTAGATTTCATTTAGTGAGAGAAAGGACTCTATATAGGACATAGTAAGCGTTCAGTTTACATTATCAATGATTGCTTGAAAGAAAAAGATCATTTTTATTTTGAGTAAACCTGGTAAAATAATTTAGAATTCTGATGTAGTCATAAATATCCTAATTAGTATCTTTTTTCTTTCTTAATTGAGTTGAGGAATCCTAAATTCCCTTTTTATATTTATGTCTTGAGTGCCATTTAATTCTATTATGAGATTATTTACATTGAGAGAGGAAAATAAAATAAATATATGTATTTCCTTATTGTAAAGATTTTATTTATCTTTGTAGTTTCATTTCTTTATTTGAAGGGCAAAGTAAAAGAGAGACAAAGACATCTTCCATCTGCTGGTTCACTCCCCAAATGCCTGCAGTAGCCAAGACTGGGCCTAGCTGAAGTCAGTCAGTACTCTACCAGGGTCTCCCATGTCTTTTGCAGGGACCTAAGTCCTTGAGCTACCACTTGCTGGCCCAGGTGCATTAACAGGGAAGCTGGATCAGAAGTAGAGCAGGAGCGTTAACTCAAGCACTCCAATGTGAGTTGGCAGCATCCCTTGCTTAATGGCTACATCCAATGGTCACCCCTGTTGTAAGGCTTTTATCGTCTTAATGCAAAAAGTTTTAGAAGTCTTAGAAAACAACATACAAATGAGCCCAGATTCGTTTCCAAATTAAAACTAAATTCATAGGTATGTAAATGAATAATTATTAAAATAATGAATAACAAGTGATCAAGACATAAAAATAATCAATACAAATAAATAATATTGAAAATGCGACTCTGTTTTTAACAAATGCAATGCAGGTGGTTCGGAAGTTTACCAGATTATGTGCTTCATGAAGACAGGGACTGTTAGTGCTCAGCATTGTATCCCTTTCACGGACTAGTCATTTAATGTTTATTGATCACAGTCTTTGGAAATGTAGTATGAAAATTAGAGAAAAGTCTGTGAGTCAGTATTTTAATGTGAGGAGAAGTCCTCAAAATGTGACAATTTGTAGTTAGAAAATGAGATACTCAGAAATGCTTTGTAGTGCCTAACACAATTAAGCTATACTTTTTTTTGTCTTTTTCTTTTTTCCAAGCTATACTTTTTTTTTTTTTTTTTTTAAGATTTTATTCATTTATTTGAGAGGTAGAGTTACAGACAGTAAGAGGGAGAGGCAGAGAGAAAGGTCTTCCATCCACTGGTTCACTCCCCAGATGGCCGCAACAGCTGGAGCTGAGCTGATCTGAAGCCAGGAGCCAGGAGCTTCTTCCATGCGGGTGCAGGGGCTCAAGTGCTTGGGCCATCTATTGCTTTCCCAGACCATAGCAGAGAGTTGGGTTGGAAGAGGAGCAGCTGGGGTTAGAACAGGCACCCATATAGGATGCCAGTGCCACAGGCAAAGGATTAACCTACTGCGTCACAGCACTGGCCCCTCCACGCTATAGTTTTATAGAATTTTTTTGAGAGCTATAGTAAAGGCAATATTTAGGATGTTCTGGTTTAATCTCAAGAAAGCACACAAAGGGGCCAGCATTGTGGCTCAGTAGGTTAAGCTACACCTGTAATGCCAACATCCAATATCGGAGCACTAGTTTGATTCCTGGCTGCTCTACTTCTAATCTTACTCTCTACTAATGTGTCTGAGAAGGCAGCAGAAGATGGCACAAGTGCTTGGGCCCCTGCCATCCGCATGGGATACCCCAATGCAGTTCCAGGCTCCTGCCTTCAGCCTGAGCCAGCTTCAGCTGGGAATGAATCAGCAGATGGGAGAATGAACTCACTGTCTTTCTCTTACTCTCTCAAGAACTGTGTGTGTGTGTGTGTGTGTGTGAGAGAGAGAGAGAGAGAGAGAGAATCTGCCTTTCAGATAAATACAATAAATCTTAAAGAAAAAAAAGAAATGTAATGAAGCACTTTTGAGTAGATTTCAGCATTGTTCCTACATGTGATTCTCAATAGTGACTTACTAAAAAAAGGATAATGCATTGCTTAGAAGGAGCTGAAAAAAGAAAGCTTTTCTTCGCTAATACTAAAAACAGCCAATATTTTTCTAGAAAATTCATGTAAATAAAAATGATTGTTCAAAGGCCAGCATTGTGGCTCACTTGGCTAATCTTCCACCTGCAGCGCCAGCACCCCGGGTTCTAGTCCCACTTGGGGCGCTAGGTTCTAGTCCCAGTTGCTCCTTTTCCAGTCCAGCTCTTTGCTGTGGCCCGGGAGGGCAGTGGAGGATGGCCCGAGTGCTTGGGTCCCTGCACCCACATGGGAGACCAGGAAGAAGCACCTGGCTCCTGGCTTCGGATCGGCGCAGCGCCGGCCGTGGTGGCCATTAGGGGAGTGAACCAACAGAAGGAAGACCTTTCTCTCTGCCTCTCTCTCACTGTCTATAACTCTCTGTCTCTGTCTCTCTCTCTCTCTCACTGTCTAACTCTGCCTGTCAAAAATAAATAAATAAATAAAAATGATTAGAGTATTGCATGTAGAACAAATACATTTAACCTTGTAAATCTAAAATACTAGCTTCTAAGAATCCTAAGAAGAAAGATTAAGCCTCTAAATTTATATGTAAATAGTTCTCTTTTTGGGAAGGTGATTTAGAAAAACAAGAGATTAGTCATTTTATAGTATTAGATAAGATTACAAAATTATGCCAGAAAGCATCTGAAAAACATTCAACTGACTTCATTCTAGTCAGTAATTATAGACCTGAACCCAGAATAGCCATTTTTAAACCTTAACAGATTTTCAAATGAAGACATCAACTCTTGCATCATAATGTAGAGAAGATTTTACTAAGTGTAGACTTACCTAGCATGCTTTTCTAGTGATTTTGGCCATATCCCTCTGATGCTATCCAATTTTAGTGAACAAATATTCAGTTTACCTGATATTTACTTCAAAGAGAATGTTCTCCTGAAAGTGAGAGAAAACCATTCATGTTGTAGAATGTAAATGATCCAGTCAGATCTGTGTTTATGAAGCTCTTTCCATCCCAACTATCCCCTCTGAGGGCTGCCTGATTTGGAGGGTGAGCTGAGCTTCAAGTCCCTCTGTCAACGTATTGGGTCTGCTGCTGTCTGTGTTCCGTCTCAGATTGAGTCTTAACTGTTCCATGAAGGAAAAAAGTCTGTAGCGAAAACACAAAGAACTAAAGCCTGAGACTGTGAGTGATTTCTCCCAGGTCTGATCGGAACCCAAGCATATGTCTTACCATTCTGGTAGACTACTTTTGTTGTAATTTATAGTATTTCTGTTTTTTAATATTCTGAAGACATAGTGTCATGCTTTATTTTTTAGAACTAGCTGTTGTTGAAATATGTGCAAATTATAATCAAAGTTGGAAGTTTGATTTTACCCAATTCAGCCTGTTGGAACCCTTTAAAAGTATAGGAATGTTTTCCACATATTAAAATTTTTTTCCTTGTAGTTTGAAGTAAAGCTGATTTATTTATGCAGTGCTAAAAAATGAATACCTCAATTGGTTATTGGAGACTTGGAAAAACAAAATAAAATAAGAATGAAGTTGCAAATAAAACTAATGTGCCTCTTTTCCTGAGATTTAAGAAGAGGATTAATTTCAAGCATAAAAAAATGCTGTAAGAGGGAAAAACTAATCTGTTCTTTTTTTTACTGTGAACAAAAAAGAAAATGTAGTCTTGAGTGATTTTTACATACTGTTTTCTCTATGTACTGCTTTGCTTGCCCCATGTTGAGCTGGATATAATTGGCTTTATTCTTTGTTCAAAAATGATTTTTTAAAAAAGATTTATTTATTTATTTGAAAGTCAGAGTTACACAGAGAGAAGGAGAGGCAGAAAGAGAGAGAGAGAGGTCTTCTATCCACTGGTTCACTCCCCAATTGGCTGCCAACGGCCGGAGCTGTGCCAATCCAAAGCCAGGAGCTTCTTCCAGGTCTCCCACTTGGGTGCAGGGGCCCGAGGACTTGGGCCATCTTCTACTGTCTTCCCAGGCCACAGCAGAGAGCTGGATGGGAAGTGGAGCAGCCCATATGGGATGCCGGCACTTCAGGCCAGGGCACTAACCCGCTGCACCACAGAGCCGGCCCCTTGTTTATTTTCTTGAAAGGCAGAGTGACACAGAGAGAGGGAGAAACACAGAGACAGAAAGAGGTCGTCCATCTGCTGATTCATTCCCCAAATGCTGGCAACAGCTTGGACTGGGTCTAGCCAAAGCCCGAAGTCCAGAACCCAGTCAGGGTCTCCTACACACATGGCAGGGACCCAAGTTCTGGAGCATACCACGCTGATTCCCCGGGTATGCATTAGCAGGCAGCTGGGTGGCAGGTGCAGGCAGGACTTGATCCCGAGCTCGCCCACATGAGATGTGTGTGTTCCAGGCTGCTCTTAACCCACTGGGTTAGCACTGGGACTGCTTTCTGTGGGGAGTAGTCAAAGAGCTAATAGAGAACTGAAATCAAAGTTTACTTTTAGAGGTATCAGCATTGTCAAGGAATGAATAAAAAAAGCCTGATTGTCTTGTCTCTATATATCTGAATTCCTCACTAGGTTCTAAGCTTTTGGGAGTAGTGGTGAAATCTTTCATTTGTATACCTTTTGTTAGTATATATGTGCCTAGTATATGTTACAGTTTTTAATAATCAAGTTTACTGAGTTAATAAAGTACCTTTGACAAAAATATTAAGAAACTGTAGTCATTCAGTAATATCTCCCTTAAAGTTAGCATTTGAGCAAAAAAGATTTTAAATTAGGGGCAAAAGTTTTTTTAATGCTAATTTTATCTGCAGTAACGTGCTGCCATAAAAAAAAAAAAACCTCCTTTATACCTCCTTTATGCCATCTTTTTTGATAGGATTGATTATATGACCAAGGCTTGGACTTTAAGGTTTAGTTATTTTACAGGATTTTTTTTTTTCCTTTGATAGAGTACTTTTTTCATCTGGGATCTTCCAGTTTGTATTTGTGTGATTGGGTCTAGCTTTTGCCATCCCCCTCTTAGCAAACGCTAACCACTTGGCAGAGGCATTTGGGTTTGAGGTGTAAAGTTATGGAAAAAAAAGGACTCATAAGTAGAGCCAGCTTAAAACAGTGTTTTCCTAACTGCTTTCTTTAGAGTAACTTCCCAAGAGAACGGTCATGGTTTCCACACACCTCAGAAAGGTGACGATACCAGCAGTGCTGCTTCTGGTGGCGGTCTGGAGCACACGGCGAAATCCGCTCCCGCGCCTCACACGGGGCAGGTGTCGGAAGAACAGAGCTCCCCGGCGGCGCTGGTGAAGAAGCCCGGCAGGCTGCGGCAGCAAATCGATGTGAAAGCCGAACTGGAGAAGCGGCAAGGAGGGAAGCAGCTCCTCAACTTAGTGGTCATTGGTAATGCCCTTTGTGCCTCCAGGTTCGCGAGCCTCACTGCCTTGTGGGGCAGCCCCGAAGCTCTGTGTTCCTCTGTGGGTGTAATGGACAGAAAGCAAGGAGCTGTTGCATCATAATGGCTTCCTGGTCACCCTGCGGAAATGATGCCGCGTTTCCAAGGAGGCTGGTGGACCTATTGCCGCATTTTCATGTTGTGCACATTTTGAGAATGGCATCTCTTATTGAAAATTTTAATTTATAAAAATGAGGGAAATCTCCCCCTCTAAAGGGACATGCCCTCTCCCCCGCATTTAGATGTTTTTTCTGTCGTTTGATAAAAATTAGTATTCAGTATACTCCATAAACACTGCAGTGAACTATTGAATTACACTGTCATGCAACGCCTCAATGTGAACAGCTTGTGAAATGTGCCTGGTATTAATCTTGAATCAATTTTCCTTAGGTCATGTTGATGCTGGGAAAAGTACTCTGATGGGCCATATGCTTTATCTCCTGGGTAATGTAAACAAAAGAACTATGCATAAGTATGAACAGGAATCTAAAAAGGCTGGCAAAGCTTCGTTTGCATATGCATGGGTCTTGGATGAGACTGGTGAAGAAAGAGAAAGGTAGTCACTATATTTCAGAATTTTCAGTTTGAAATGATATAGTCTTTTTAAATTAGTAATATGTGTTGAATATATGAAACATGCCATGAAATACTTTAGGGATTTTATATTCAGAGAGAAACTTCTAATTATCAGAGAGAAGTATTTCTTGTAATTTTCATTATAAATAGCTTCTTTGTACTCTCCCAAATTCTTTTTTTTTTTTTTTTGCTTTCAAACTTTTATTTAATGAATATAAATTTCCCAAGTACAGCTTATGGATTACAATGGCTTCCCCCCATAACGTCCCTCCCACCCGCAACCCTCCCCTTTCCCACTCCCTCTCCCCTTCCATTCACATCAAGATTCATTTTCGATTCTCTTTATATACAGAAGATCAGTTTAGCATACATTAAGTAAAGATTTCAACAGTTTGCTCCCACATAGAAACATAAAGTGAAAAATACTGTTTGAGTACTAGTTATAGCATTAAATCTCAATGTACAGCACACTAAGGACAAAGATCCTACATGAGGAGTAAGTGTACAGTGACTCCTGTTGTTGACTTAACAAATTGACACTCTTGTTTATGGCCTCAGTAATCACCCTAGGCTCTTGTCATGAGCTGCCAAGGCTATGGAAGCCCCCTGAGTTCACCAACTCTGATCATATTTAGACAAGGCCATGGTCAAAGTGGAAGTTCTCTCCTCCCTTCAGAGAAAGGTACCTCCTTCTTTGATGACCCATTCTTTCCGCTGGGACATGCTCAAGCTGACTTACCTCAAACGGTAGAGTTAGAAACATACCAGGGGATTCCAATTCAATCCCATCAAGGTGGCATGTACCAATGCCATCTCACTAGTCCCAGTGATCAATTTCTGTTCACAGTTGATCATAATGATAGGACTAAGAGCCAAAGGGATCACATAAACAAGAATAGTGTCTGCAAATACTAGCTGATAGAATAAAAAAGGGAGAGAATGATCCAACATGGGAAGTGAGATACACAGCAGACCCATAGAATGGCAGATGTCCTACAACACTCTGGCCTCAGAATCAGCCCTTAAGGCATGCGGATCCGGCTGAAAAGCCCATGAGAGTATTTCAGGCATGGAAAGCCAAGACACTCTGGGGAAAAAAAAAAAAAAACCTAAATGAAAGATCTCTGCGAGTGAGATCCCAGTGGAAAGAATAAAGAATGGGTCATCAAAGAAGGAGGTACCTTACTCTCCCAAATTCTATGAGAATAAACTAAAAGAATGTTTATCCAAGCTAAAACAAAAAACACATAGAAGTTAATTAGTAAAAACCCTAAGCTAATTATTCTATGGGAGAAGATCCTGTTACTACTTCCCTTTATGCCTGATTGCCTTGATATTGAATTTAAATTATGAGTTAAGACTTAATTTTATAATAGGTTGTAAAGGAAAGGCAACAGTAGTGAACTCTTCTTTCAGGATCAAAGTGACCATTATATCTAGATTACCACACTTACTTATTTTATACTTTAAATAAGTAATTAAACCCATATCCTGCCACTGAGATATAATTCAGTCAGTTACTCCCTTCTGTCTTTGTTACTATATTCAATGCTAATTTGGTGAGGGGAGAGGTGGAAATTCTAGCAGGAGAATACAGCCACTCATATACTTCTGGCTAAAGTACAATATTTCTTGTAGTAGTGATATGTTTTATTTTAGGGCTGTAAACGGTGGGAGAACCAAGGGCACCTTAGTGATTAAGTGTAACTGTTTCAAAATGATGACTAAATTAAATTGCATTCCTCCAATTTCCTCAATCTGAGTATAATTAGAGATATTTAGATTTCTATACTTTTTTCTTGGATATGTTTATTTTCTCATAGTCTTGGATAACCTGCATTATAATATATAAGGTAATCATTGGTAAAACTGGTCATAGTGTTCCTTAGCTCTTCTAATAAGTAGGACTTTATATCATAGCAGGTTTTTATCCCCTTGTAAGTGTCTTATAAATTCTGTATAGCACCATGAACCTGTTTTCCACCTTGGTAAGAAAAATTAGCCAGACAGCTGCCAGTTTTTTGTAAACAGTAGAATTGAGTATGACATCAGTATTAGAAGCATACATAATTTCTGCTTGTCAGCCCAACAAGCAGATTGTTAAAGTATATGGCTTTTTAGTTTTCTTTGTGTCATCTAGTAAATAAGAGATTGGAGACAGTATAATTTGAGTGCAAATAATTTGGTCAAATTTAATTAATTTGTGAGTTAAGCTGGCAAGTTAGCTAATGATCTGATTCCTATAATCATCACTCATTTTAGGGGTCTTTTTTGGATGATGTTGCTGCTTACTGACTGTTGTACTTTTACTGCTACTAGTCTTCGGTTTCTCAGGATGATACTATTTTTAGAATATCCCTTTATTACATAGATTAGTCATGGTTCATCACTATTCGGAAATGCCGTGATCCATAGGTTATTTGGAGATTATTAAGGAGAACTATACCTCACTTTGGCCCATCACTTCAGATTAAACTCAGATGCCTTGACTGAGGAAACCATAGTCACCTGACTCTGAGGGGGAACCTGAGTTCATTAGAATCGTTGGGACTCGTGAAAATGAAAGAGAGGGCTGTCATCCACCGCTTTGGATGATGCAGCGGGTACTACGATGATTGCCCACCCGAGTTCCTCTTCCAAGTTCCAGAGGTCAAGAGTGATTCAGGGACCTTGTGGACCTTCCCTCACCTTCCCTATAATCTCAATCAACATTCTTGTGACTGAAAAGAGGCGTTCATTGTGTCTGGTCTCCAGAGGAGATGGAAAGGCACACAAAGTAAACTGCCATTCAGTTCTGTCAGTTTTTAAAAAGTTAGGTCTCCTTGGATGCTCCATATTTTCTAAACGCATTACTTACTGACTAACCTTGCAAATGAGAATTTCACAAGTTTATTTGTATAAACAGGTGAGGTATAACCATGGAACATAAGGACATTACCTGTTGATAGTGATGAGTTTTCATGTTGTCTTTTCTCATGTGCAGTATTTATTTTCCCCCCACTAGAGATGTCCCCATATATTTTTCTTTATGTATACTTCATACTATTTCTTACTAAAACATAAAAAAGCAAGGAATTGGGAAATAACTATCCTTTTGATTGAGTTCTTGCTGTATCCACAACCTTGTTTTAATGCCATAGAAGTATAATTATATTTAGCAGAAATTCTAGCCCTAATTGATACTTTAATTATTCAAAATAATGATTTATGTAATAAAATTCGCATTGTTACTTGTCAGCCTATAGTTTAATGATTTAATCCATAGAACTCTTGTTTTATATAGTGCATTCTAACAATGTTTTGTTTTGTTTAAGGGGAGTGACAATGGATGTTGGTATGACAAAGTTTGAAACCACAACCAAAGTTATTACATTAATGGATGCTCCAGGCCATAAGGATTTTATTCCCAATATGATTACAGGAGCAGCCCAGGTACTAGGTATTTCCTTAATGATGGTGCACTGTTTGTACATAAAAATTCCTGATTCTGAGGTTATAACTGAGATTTTAATTTCTAAAATATTTTAATATTAATAATTTTAAGTTTAAAAATTTTGGAAGAAATATTGTGTCTTTCATGATTTCTTTATCTGTACTTTATAAACAAAGAAATGTGTAGAAGCTAATAATTTCTGTATAGTAAGAATAGTGGAAAAGTACTTGATGAAGTGTAGCTTTGTATTCTATTTAATAAGTTGAAGTTAGTATTTCAAATCTGCCTTATTTTACTCAATATATACTCAGTTTTCTATTTTTAAATTAAAAGCACTTTTACCTACTTATTTTTATTTGAAAGGGAGAAAGGGAGAGGGAGAGAGAGAGAGAGAAATCTTCCATCTGCTGGTTCACTCCCCAAATGCTTATAACATCTAGACTGAGGCCAGACCACAGCCAGGATCCAGGGACTCAATCCAAGTCTCCCATGTTGGTGGCAGGGATTCAACTTCTTGAGCCATCACCTGCAGCCTCCCATGACGCACATTAGCAGGACACTAGCATTGGATATAGAGCTGGCCCTCGAACCCAGGCGCTCACTATGGGGTGTGTGTGTACTCCAAGCCTCATCTTATTTGCTGCACAAAACACCCAGCCTTTCTGTTTTTCAAACTAATTTATGCAGAGATAAGTAAGTTTGAGGGTTCCCCAGCAAGTAGTTTATTTGTTTATACTAAAAAATGCAATTGGCTCCCAGTTTCTTTTGGCTCCTACCTGTGGATTCAACCAATGCACATGGAGAATATTAAAAAAAAAAATCTGTACCCAAGACATGCAGATTGATTTTCCTTGTTATTGTTCCCTAAACAATATGGTATGACAATTCTTTACATGGCATTTTCATTGTATTAGGTATTGTAAGTTATAAATAGATGACTGACTTGGGGTATATGGAAGGATATGCAAATACTACACAATTTTATGTAAGGGACTTGAACTTGGTATCTGAAGGGATCCTAGAACCGGTTTCCTGAGGATGCTGAGGAATAACTATAACTTACAGTTTTTAAATTTAGATCACTCTTAAATGAAGGATACTAGAAAAAAAAATACCCAAAGATAAGTAACTTTAAATTTAAATAGTAGAAGCAGTGAAAATAGCAATATAACCATATAACCATATGGCATTGATTTCTTTCATAATAGATGATTATTGAAAAACATGAAGAATTAACAAATTGGGCTCTGTCATGTGGCAAAAATGTGACTTTAAGCAGTTGACTATTTTCAGAGTTCCATTCATTGAAAGGGAATATTAAGGGCAGGCACTGTGGTGGTTAACCTGCAGCATGGGGTATCTGCATCCTATTTTCCAAGTCCTACTTTGAGTCTCGGCTATTCTGCTTCTGATCTTGCTTCCTGCTAACGCACTCTGAGAGGTGGCAGATGTGGGCCCTTGCCACCCACATGAGAAAACTGGATGAAATTTTGGGCACCTGGCTTAGTTCTGGGCTAGCCCTGTCTATTTGCAGGCATTTGGGGAGAGAACCAGATGATGAAAAATAAATAAACATTTAAAAGAGAATGCATATGAACACTTGTCAACCTAAAGGGATGCTGTATGAATAAGTATGGATATGTTTGAAGATCAATGAGAAATTATTTGTTTCCATTTTAGAAAGTTGATATATAATCTTAAGATTCTGGACTGAATTTGATAAAAGTTTGAAGTATAATCACTTATACTGAATACCTAATATGGACTAGACACTCATGAGACACTTTTTATGCATTTAGTTTAATATAATCTTCATAAAATTTTATATTTTTCTCATTTTTAAATTAGTATACTTGGATTTACCAAAGGATACAGTTTAGTTTTAGTTTCCCTTTACTTCGTTGTATGTATGTGTGTGTGTGTGTGTGTGTGTATTTCTTTGATTCAATGAATATTTATGGAATATCTGCTAAGTACCAAGTGCTATGGTAGGAGTGTTAGGAGTCAATGACTACAAAGCACATTTGGATAGTTTAGTGGGAGAGGCAAACACTAGAACTAGTAGTTACAGTAAATGTTTTACCTTAGTGTCCAGAGTTATGATAAAGATAATTTATTCCGGGGCTGATGCTGTGGTGCAGTGGGTTAATGCCCTGGCCTGAAGCGCTGGCATCCCATGTGGGTGCCTGTTTGAGACCTGGCTGTTCCACTTCTGATCCAGCTCTCTGGTATGGCCTGTGAAAGCAGTAGAGGAGTTCTTGGGCCTCTGCACCCCCGTGGGAGACCCAGAAGAAGCTCCTGGCTTCGGATCAGCGCGGCTCTGTCCGTTGCAGCCAATTGGGGAGTGAACCAGCAGATGGAAGATCTCTCTCTCTCTCTGCCTCTCCTCTCTCTGTGTAACTCTGACTTTCACATAAATAAATAAATCTTTTAAAAAAAAAGGTAATTTATTCCAAATTTCTTATAGAATTAGAGTAGAAAGGAGTTTTAGAGATGACCTAATTGAGTTCCATAAAACAAAGAAATAAAAAATATAAAGTAGCATAGTGTACGAAATGCTGTGGTGGGATTTTGGGGAACCAGAGAGCATGCTACCTCTTTTCAAAAATCACAGGGTAGGAAGGTAAGACAGAGAAAAACAAAAAGGCTAGCAGATGCACTGCAAGAAGCACATACACTGTATACATTGTGAGATCACTTTATATGCTTGATCACAAAAGCCTTTCTTGGAAGTGTATAGGCATTCAAATTCCCAAAGACAGGAACCATTGCATAGGAAGTATTTTAATAGAGAAATTACCCAGTAATTTTTTGGAGATGGTTTTAGGATATAAGATTCGGTAGAATATTTACAAAGCTTAAGTATCTTGATACAATTCAATACATTTCAAATGTTAACCTAAGAAGGTAAATACAGTTTTACAGCTTCAGCAAAATCTAATGAGAAGGAGATTTATAATTATTAAACATGAGATTTGGATGCTTACAGGGGGATACTTTATGTAATAAACTATTATTTAGCGCCCTGGGGTTTATAACCCAGAGAAACTTGACAATTTACCCGAGGCATGAGACCTTTAGTGGCTGCAAGTCACTTTTCAAATCTATTCCAGTTTTACTTCTAATTAACAATCTTTGATGCAAAGAGCTGGATCTCATGGAAAATATTAGAGTTCAGAATTATAAATTATGAAGGATAGAAATGATTACTTCACTGAAGAATACAAGTAAAGCCGAAAGAGTATTTGAGTAAGAATAAAAAGAAAAACAGAAATAATAGTGTCAATTGCTCTACCCTCCAAATCATGTGGATACTTTTAATGTACGCTATAAAGCTTAAAAAGCAAAGTATCATAAATTATTGACTGACTTCATGACCATTTCATTTGCTGTTATGGGGAGGATTATGTAATAATGTATGTGAAATGCTTTAAAAATAGACAGCACCAACATAAAGTGTCACCAAGGACACAAAGAAAACTAGACTCTGTTCTCCCCCAAAGGCCAAGCAGTTAATGATGGGGATAGAATAAAAGAGGACCTTTGAGAGAGAGTGAATTTCATGTAGCTGTCAGAGATAACTAAAGAGAGGAATCCTGCATTTGCTCATTGGTATCCTGGATTACAGAAAAGAGATTTTATGAGAACAGGTATACACACAAGGCATGTAGAAGAGAATGAGGATTTTTTTTAAATGTCTTGACAATGCATTGGCAGTAATTAATTGATAGGAATGAAAATGAAGGAAGATGTATGGTTGTACAAGGTATTTTAAATTGGAATTTGTAAATGCTGCACAAATGAAAGTGAATCACAAAGAGAAGGATCTACACAAAAGACTAGTGAGAACCTGCAAGTCTAGTTTCCATAAGGCAAAGAAGGAAAATGAGCTAACAAAAGGATAACATTTTTCTTCTTTCTTTTGTGTGTAATTTGAGTCTGAAAGGAGAAATGTCTTTTTGATTCACACAGTGGCTCACAGAGCTTTGAAACCTTTGTTATATGAGGTTCCTTTTCAGTAACTATGGAGGATGAATAATTCTCCGATGAATATCTTTGTAGGTACATAATTATTTCTAAGATAAAGTCCTAGAGATGGAATTGATGGTAGGTAAAATCTGCATAATTGTAAGGCTCTCAATTGTTACTATGAAAATGCCTTCTAGAAAGCTTGTGCATGTATGGTGCCATAAACTTGTGTGGAATGCCCATCTCACTGCACCCTCGCCTACAGTAAATCATTCTGTCTTTTGAATTCTCAACAATGTGATTTGTAGAAATGGAAGGGCAGGAAATATGTCAGTGTATTTTTAATTCTTTTTTTTTCAGTGAATTTGAACTTTTTAAATGTTTGCTGGGTATTTTGTATTTCCTTAGCAAATTACTTGCTTTTGACTTTTAACTAGCTTTCTACAGAGCTGTGTCTTTTTTCACTTGGTAGACTTCATATTAAGATTATGACTTTTACTGTATATGTTATAAATATGTGTCTCTGTTTACTTAGGAATTAATTTTATGTCTTTCTCCCTTCATCTGGTATATTTTAATTGTTCCATAATCAAATATGGACTTTTAAAGATTGTTCTTTGTGTCATTATTTTTGGTGCCATGCTTTATAAATTTAATATATCTGTGGGATTCTTTGGTTTGCTTTGGTGTTTGGTATAAGGTTAGAGGTCAGGTTAGGGTCTGCCTTTAAAAGTAAAACCTACACAATTAATTGAATAATTTATCTTTTGAATTAAAATACTGTGATGTTATTTCTCAGTTTGATTATTCTTTTTTCCTTAGGCAGATGTAGCTGTATTAGTTGTAGATGCCAGCAGGGGGGAGTTTGAAGCTGGATTTGAGACTGGAGGCCAGACACGAGAGCATGGCCTTCTGGTCCGATCTCTTGGAGTGACACAGCTTGCAGTTGCGGTCAACAAAATGGATCAGGTATTCAAGGGCTTTGTTGGAATTCATTTTAGATGCTAACTAACGTTATTCTGCCCATATGGAAGACCTCAGATATGACTAATCTACATTTTGTTAATCAAGCAGCCAGATTTTGAAGAATACATTCACTATGCTCTCATTAAATGAATATAGTATTAGTAATTTTTAAGCAAGAAGGTGTCTTATTTTCAAAATGAATTTTTAAAACTTTAAAGTTTTTATTTGTAAAATAATACATGTTTATTGTGATGGAATGAAAATGTAAAAACTGCAAATAACCTCTATTTCCTACTGTCTTTCCTCCTAGATAACATAATTTTAGTTTGTATATCCATTCAATTTCTTTTTATAGATAATAATCTTTTTCTGTATAACATTGGCTTGTAATGTTTGATTATCTGCTTTTAAGAAAAAAATAACAGTACTATTGCACACACTTCTAAGTAATAATTATTTTTTTGTATTAATTAATAATTCTTGGGCAAACTGATTGTTTATATGGCTTTGTTCTAGTCTATTCTAAATAGTTCCCTACTTTTGACCATTTCCAGTTGTTTCATGTGTGTGGAAATACTTTATTCTATGCAAATTTCTGGGTCTGCACACATTTACTTTTTAAGACTTGCTGAATATGATCAAAATACCTTTGAGAAATGTTCAGGTTATTTGTTTTTGGCACATATAATTTGTTTACTTCCCCAAATTCTTAGCAACATTGCTGTTATTAAAAACTTGTTTTCTAATTTGATATTCAAAACAAAGATTTATAAAAATATAGTCTCATAAATACATTAGCACTTGAATATATTTTAAAGGTTAATCATTTGCTTTGGGAATTTCTTGTGTAGTTTACTCACTTTTGATTTTGTTTATGATGTGTTTTGGACACATATTAAAGTTTAAAATATATTTTCCTTTGACTTTTTTCTTTATACTTAAGATATCTTCTTACCCTGGGACCAGATAAATACTCACCTATATTTTCTATTGATTCTTTTATTCATTATTATACATATTTAAAATTTTTTTCCTAAGCATTTTAGTATGAAAAACTAAAGAAAAGTTGAAATAATTTTATAATAAGTACTCATTTTATATATACCACTTAAGAGTCTACTACTTACTTGCTTGATCACATTTTTCATTGGTCCATCTACTTTTTATCTGTCCATTAATCAATTTATCTGTCCATTAATCAATTTTTTATCTGTCCATTAATCAGTCATCTTGTTTGGCATGCATTTCCATGTAAGTTGGAGACTTTAGTACACTTACCTCTAAACACTGCATATCCTTGTCTTTAGGATTTAATTATGTATTCTTTTCTAGTATGTTTGTCTGGGGTGGGTTCAGAAATTTTATTTGAACAGTTAACCCAAGCACAGTTTAATAAATTATTCACTTTTTCTCCCCCAAATTTGAGATTACTTTTAGCATACACATGTATAAAAAAGTTCTAAATATATTGGACATTATTTCTAAGCTTTCTGTTGTAGGAAAATTATTTTAGGTCATATTTATAGTAAGACCTATTCTGAATTTTAATTTTGATGGATTTTAATCTTAATATTTATATTTTATATAGCTTTATTTATATTTTATTGCAGAAATTTAAACTTTATATGTCATGTTCTGAAACATAGTTTTAAAAATAAATTGGATCTTTGTCAGGTTAATTGGCAGCAAGAAAGGTTTCAAGAAATTACTGGAAAACTTGGGCACTTTCTTAAGCAAGCAGGTTTTAAGGTAAGAGAATTTTAAATCTATTTAATAGTACGTTTAAGTCATCTTATTGATATGAGAGAAGAAAATCAGCTGGCGCTGCAGCTCACTAGGCTAATCCTCTGCCTGCGGCGCTGGCACTCTGGGTTCTAGTCCCGGTTGGGGCAACAGTTCTGTCCCAGTTGCTCCTCTTCCAGTCCAGATCTCTGCTGTGGCCCGGGAAGGCAGTGGAGGATGGCCCAAGTGCTTGGGCCCTGCACACACATGGGAGACCACGAGGAAGCACCTGGCTCCTGGCTTCAGATCTGCATGGCGCTGGCCATGGTGGCCATTTGGGGAGTGACCCAATGGAAGGAAGACCTTTCTCTCTGTCTCTCTCTCTCACTGTCTAACTCTGCCTGTCAAAAAAAAAAAAAAAAAAAAAAGAGAGAGAGAGAGAGAAAGGAAAACCAATATTCATGGTTATATATGTTTTTGCTTACTTCACTTTGGGAGGAAAAATTGTGTTTGCTTTGGATTTTGTTTAAGTAAAAGACTTTGCCACCTGTTAAATTATCAGATAGTGTAGATTTGGGGAGATCACAGAAGAATGTGGAAGCCTGTAGAAAAGAATTTCTACAGCAAGACTATAAAATGCTTATTTAACCAGATAAAAATGTATGAGTGTTTTAGAATAAATATTCATGTTTCCCACAAACATCACAGAAGTTGGAAACTGTTGGATCAGACTTTTGTACTGTAGTTCTGTGATTTTTTTTTATGCATTTGAAAAGTAGATCGTTGTTGCTTTTGCAAACTTGGTGCAGTTCTGGTAATGATGAATCTTTTTTAACTTTTTAAAAACACCACTGGGGTGGGCTTTGAGGTGCAGCAGGTTACGTCACCACTTAGGACACCCACACCCCTTATTGGAGAGCCTGGTTCGAATACTGGCTACTCTGCTTCCAATCTAGCTTCCTGCTCATGTGCATCCTGGGAAGCAGAAGATAGTAGCTTGAATACTTGAATCTCTGCTACCTTTGTGAGAGACCCAGAGGGAGTTCCAGTCTCCTAGCTTTGGCTTGGCCCTGCCCTGGTTGTTGCAGGAGTTTGGGGAGTGAACCAGCAAATGGAAGATATCTCTTTCTATTCTTTCTGCATTACCAATAAAAAATAAACAAACATTTGAAAATAAGATAGAAGCATCACTGTATAAGCTTCATACTTCCATTTTTTTTCATAGGAGAGTGATGTAGCTTTTATCCCTACAAGTGGTCTCAGTGGTGAAAACCTAATCACAAGATCTCAGTCAAGTGAGCTCACAAAGTGGTATAAAGGACTATGTTTATTAGAACACATTGGTAAGTATTCTGCCATTCTAACTTCAGTGCATTATAAATGATATTAATGACAATTTTGAAGTTCTTTATTGGAGACAGTAATGTGTATGAAAAACGATAGGATTCAGGGTAGGCATTGTGGTGCAGCAGGTTAAGCTGCTGCCTATAATGCTGGTGTCCAATATCAGAGTGCTAGTTTGAGTCCTGGCTACCCAGCTTCTGGTCCAGCTCCTTGCTAATGTACCTGAGAAGGCATGGAAGATGGCCCAAGTGCTTGGGCAGAGATTCGGATGGCATTCCTGGCTCCTGCCTTGTGCCTGGCTCAGTCCCAGTTATTGTAGCCATTTGCAGAGTGAACTAGTGGATGGAAGATCTTTTTCTGTCTGTTTTTTTCTCTCTCTCTGATTCTGCCTTTCAAATAAATAAAATAAATTTTACCAAAAAATGCATAGGATTGATAGTCAACAGGCTAAGTTCCCTGTTTTGAAAGCATGTGGTGTGACATGTGAATACATTTCATAAATTACAAAGCATTATGTAAATAATAGTTTGCTATTAGTATTTATAAAAAGTGATACTTTTATAGAACTGGGAATATAATGGATTCATTTGAATGAGTCAGGAAAGTTACATTTTGAATTCAATCTTGATTTTGTCCTTTTCCCCCTAGATTCCTTCAAGCCTCCTCAACGATCCATTGATAAGCCTTTTAGATTATGTGTGTCTGATGTTTTCAAAGGTGAGTGCTACTACCTTCACAATCTCCCTCTTCATGGCTCCCTCTTTTCCTTCTCTCCTCCTGTCATGGCCTGAATTCTTACATTGCCTTCACATGCTCCTTTCTGCATGCCATATAGGATCACTGTCAAGTTAATCTTAAAGTGTACAGTTGTACTCACTTAGTTGTACTGTTCAAAGAATCCTTCACTTCACTCAGTGTTCCCCATCTTATACTCGTGTGCCACACTTAAGTAAACCTGCTCCTTTATCTTTGTAATCTTGTAATTTTTTTCTCTCATTAAATCCCTTTAGCTTTCATGTCCTCCAGCCAAACTGGATCATTCACAATTTCTTAACTACATGGATCTTTATTGTCACTGTGCATGCCCATATTTCCATGTTTTGCTCTTTTTTTTTAAACTCATCTCTAACAGTCTGCGTCCAGTTAGCAGACAGATATCACACATTGGTAAAGAGGGATATTTAGTATAAAGAATAGCTAACTATGAGAAAGAGGAACTGTAAGATACAAGGAAACTCTGTATGGTATGCCAACACTAAGGAAGGATAAACTCACAATGGAGAAGATGTTCTAATAAAAACCCAACAATGTAAGTGTACAAAACCCTACCTAGAACACTATAAACAGGAAGCAGAATAAGATCTCCATAAATTAAAGGATGTGATCGTTATATCATCGGATAACCAATACTGTTAAGATACTAGTGGCCCCCAAATCTCCATTACACAGAGTAGGCAATGATGAGTGATTTTGAAGTTGATCATCAGTAAATTGATAATAGAGGCTACAGAGGACCATGTGGAGTATGCTTACCCACACCCATCTCCCAAGCTGTGTTCTCTCTGCCCTTTGTTATCATTGCATTTTCCATGAAGTATTGCAGTTGTTTCTGTGCTGTGTATTTATTTTACCCAGACTGTGAATTCCTTGAGGATAAGTACTGTCTCTTCTGTATCCAAATCTGCAGAATTCACTTCAGTGCCTTCAACATAGCACATGCTCAATAAATTAACAAGCAATAAATGAATGAAGGTACTTTGAAAGAAATCATACAATGAAATTGACATTTATCATCAGTAGCTTCCAGTGTTCTACTAGAGAAAGTGATTTCCAGAATGCTCAATATCCATCAAAAATGCAAGAGATAGTTATTTTCTTTTTTAATTAAAAATGTTTGCTTACTCTACTTTCTCATCTCTTGTTCTCTCTTCATACTGTTCCCTGGCTTCTGTCTGTACTCCTTCCCACTAGTGTGTTCCTGCTGAGGTCAGATGACCTCTTGGTTGCCAAAATTAATAGACACTTTCGTTCTTTCTTACTTGAACTTGGCATTACTCTGAGGCTGACAGCCACATCCTCATTGGAACTTTTCTCTCTTAATTTCAGTGACCACATTTCTCCTGCTAGTGTATTTCTCTAACTTCTCTTAGGACTCCTCGTTCTCTCTCTGAAATGATGTTTTTTGTTGTTGTTGTTTTTTAAAAATTTACTTGTTTATTTGAAAGGCACAATTGCAAAGAGAGAGAGAGAGATTTTCCATCTGCTGGTTCACTCCCCAGATGGCTGCAATGACTGGAGCTGGGCTGATCTGAAGCTAGGAGCTAGGAGCTTCTTTCAGGTCTCCCACGTGGGTGCAGGGGCCCAAGGACTTGGGCCATCTTCTACTGCTTTCCCAGGTGCATTAGCAGAGAGCTGAACTGGAAGTGGAACAGCCAGGGCTCTAACCGCTGTCCATATGGGATGCTGGCACTGCCGGTGGCAACTTTATCTGCTATGCCACAGCACCTGCCTCCTGTTGTTCTGGCTTTCTTATCCCATATGCTCTCTTTGAAATGACATCCTTGAGTTCCTCTGTGTCTCACATCTTGATCCTTCTTAAATCTGTGTCTCCAACCCAAACCTGTTCTCTTACTGTCCCAGCACATGGATCTAGCTGATGCTGGACGTCTCCCTAGGGGCATGCCCCTGGGGTATCATTCTCATGAATTTGGTGTGCTTAGTGCCCCCTGAAATAGAACTTCTCCACTGGTGTCTATAGACACTTCACATTCACCAAGGCTAAGATGGATCTTGTTCCTTCATTTCCTTTCTCACAGTGAATGCAGCATTTCACATTTCTCCCTTTTTTGTCATTATCCTTTTCTCAGCACTCCCCACGTGTCATTCCTTACTCCTGAATTTCTGAATTCATTCCTTTGCTTTGGTCAGTTTGTAAGTTTCCATCGGCTTCCATTGTAACACAGAAACACTATTATGTCACTTGTTCAGAGTTCTTTATTGGTTTTCCAGCATTTAATAGCAGGATGAAATTCAGACCATAAGTGTCATTTATGAGCCCCTTTTGTTATTTCTCCCTTGTCTAATGTGTTTCCTCATGTCTTGCTTTTCCTTCTTTATTCCATTTGTCCCCTGGCCCCCAAGTGACACATGGCTGTTAGCACATCCGTTTCCTGGGTGGGCAGTGTCTTTCTTCTTCTTCCTACTGGAAACCCCCTCAGGCTACCTGTAAGAAACTCCTTGTCCTCCATCAGAGTGCCTGATGAAGTGTACATTGGCCCCTTCATGGAGTCTTTGGAGTACCTTTTCCTGTTACCATTATATATTTTAAATAGGATTAGCCTCAGGTAATGCAATTGTTTTTATCTTCACTAGTGTGAACTCCTTACAGATAGGGACGTATAGTGCCTGGTGCTTAGTAATAACTCAATAAATACTTGAGAAAGGAATCAACTTCCATTTTTTTATAATATGAATATTTTTATTTGAAAGAATAAAAGAATGTGTCATGCCATATTTAGTAAAGCTATTAAAGATTCTGAAGTGATATTAATTACATTTAGTATTATTTTCATGTAACCATACTTTGGAACTAAATATAATTAATAATATCAACAGAGAAGATTGTTGTATGAACCACAAGATTTTGGCCTGTTTTGCAGATCAAGGATCTGGATTTTGTGTGACTGGTAAAATTGAAGCTGGTTATATCCAGACTGGTGACCGACTACTAGCAATGCCTCCAAATGAAACTTGCACTGCAAAAGGTATTCATCTGCAGAATTCTTTTGCTAAACAAGCCTTAAGTTGAGGCAGCAGATTTTTAAAAAGTAGTTTAGTTTTAACTCCAAAGTAAATAAGGTCTTAGTGAAATTGTAACTGACTGTCAAAGTGATACTGACTGTTGAAGATTAAAATGTGAAAACATTAAACGATTTTTTTCTGTTGTGACTATTTGTGTATATATGTACATAAGCACTCTAACTGTGGTAGCATTCTTTTTTTGACATTGATTAGAGAAGCCTAGTTAGGGCTTAACCAGATGTTAACCAGATGTGTGCACACCTGATGGATGCATTTAAGATCGTATTCTCTAGAAATCTGATCCCAGTCTGACTCTTAACTAGGCAGTGGCAGTGCAGGCTGCTACTGCCTTGTTCTGGAATGTGTATTTCAGAGCAACAGTAAGTTAATAACTTTGAGCCTGTTTATACCAAATGTGTGTGTGTGTGTATGTGATTGTGTGTGTGTATTTTACAGGAGGACTCAAGTAAGAAAGTAAGATGCAAATGCGGAAAAACCTAATGTTGAAAAGAGAAATCAAACTACAGAGATCTAAAATGTGTCTATATTTTTCATGGTGCCTTATAATCATTTAGCTTTTTCTGCATGCATGTTGTTATTTTTGAAATTCGGATTGAAAGTTTATAATTCTGTATTTACCAATCTGACTTCAACTAAGCATTTGTCTTCAATGTAAAACTCCAGATCTGTTTTATACTATATAATTATTTTTAACAACTTTAAGTTGAAGTATTAATATATTGGAAATGTTAAAATATTTTAAATTTTAGTATTTCCCTCTTTTAATTTGTAGAACTGTGCCCAACTACTGTATAAAAATTTTAATGCATATTTTGTTTGAATTAATTTGCTTACTTTAAAAGCAAATTTCTTGCAGATTATAAGAAATTAATAAATATCTGATTAGGTAAAAAAGTTTACTCTACATCTAAGGATGGGGGAGGGAATGAAAACCAAATGTTTCTAAAAAAATTTATTTACTTGAAAGGCAGAAAGAGCCCGAGAAAAAGGTAGGTATCTTCTGTGTGCTTAGTCAAATGACATCAATGGTCTCGGCTGGACCAAGCCAAAGCCAGAGCCAGGAATTCCATCTAGGTCTCAAATCTGGGTGGCAGGGCCCTAAGAACTTGGACTTTGGCCATCTTCCACTACTTTTCCCAGGCGTGTTAGGGAGTTGGACTGGATCTGAAGCAACCAGGACTTGAACTACTCATATGGGATTCAGGTGTTGCAGGCAGCAGCTTAACTCTCTGTGCCACAATGCTGGCCCCTGCTTTTCTTTTTTTAAAGCACTCAAGAGCTACAATACTTTTTTTTTTAAACAACAACAAAAAGAAAGATTTATTTACTTGAGAGGCAGAGTTACAGACAGAGAGAGGGAGAGATAGAGAGAGGTCTTCCATAGTTGATTCACTCTCCCATTGGGTGCAAATGGTTGGAGCTGAGCTGATCTGAAGCCAGGAGCCAGGAGTTTCTCCCCAGTGTACTACGTAGGTGCAGGGGCCCAAGGACTTGGGCCATCCTCTACTGCCTTCCGGGGCCATCAGCAGGGAGCTGGATCGGAAGAGGAGCAGCCAGGACATGGACTGGTGCCCACATGGGATGCCAGTGCTGCGGGCAGAGGCTTAACCTACAAGGCCACAGCACTGGCCCCAAGCTACAATACTTTTAAAATGGTAGTTTGTTAATGAGTATTTTTGAAAATAAGATTTAAAAAAAAAAATCAACAGTCATGAGTTAGGATTGCCATACTAAAATTATCACAGACCTCAAGATTGGTTCCCTGTGACCTCTAAAATCACTATTTGATCCCCTCTGAAAACCCCCTATTCTTCTCTCATCTTCTCTATCTCTTCCTACTGAGAAACTGAAAGCATTAATTTTTTTTAAAGATTTACTTATTTATTCTGATAGAGTTACACAGAAAGAGAAGGAGAGGCAGAGAGAGAGGTCTTCCATCCATTGGTTCACTCCCCAAATGGCTGGAGCTGAGCTCATCCGAAGCCAGGAGCCAAGAGCTTCTTCCAGGTCTCCCACGTGGGTGCAGGGGCCCAAGGATTTGGGCCATCTTCTACTGCTTTCCCAGGCCATAGCAGAGAGCTGGATTGGAAGTGGAGCACCCAGGACTAGAACTGGTGCTGTGAGGTGGAGGATTAACCTGTGCCACAGTGCGGGCCCCGCAAGCATTAGTTTTGATTAGTGGTTCTTAAAGGAGAAGCCCTATTAGAAGGGCTAGAGCAGAAGCACGCTCCTGCTTGCGAGTCAGTCTCCTAACTTAAATGGGAGGTTCTAATTCTCAGTGTCTAGCCCTGTTGCTTTTCTCTGGTGTACTTGATTGTTCCATGGCTCTCTAACTGGTGCTGTCTCAAAAAGGACAGAGTCTCTGCCACCAAGTAGGAATTCCAAGTTATTTATTCCACTCTCCTAACATATCAAGCTCATGGAGTGTTATAAAAGAGCCTCTTTTTGTAATGCCTGTGCAATGAGAAAGTCCTTAGGATAAACGTAGATGGGATAGACAGGATTTGGGGAAAGAATACCCAGGAAAAGTTTGTATTGTTAACTGAACTTCTGTTGTGAAAGTTCTAAGAATATGAAGCCAGTATAATGACTGTTGTGTGTTTAAAAATAGCCAACTCCTGTTTTCTGTATTTCATAGCAAGTGTCAGATATGATTGTTTTAAATATAAGTTTAAAATCTAAATTTAATTCATTGATATTTAGCTAACATTCCTTAGTACCATAATTGCTAAAATTTTTGGACTAAGAATCTCTTCGATACTTGAGGAAAAGTTCTTTTCAGATTAGTGCAGATGAAATTCTGCATAACAGTTTACCTTGTCCTAGAACTCTCCTAGAATTCCCTGAGACTCAGACCCTATCCTTTACGAGCATGCTGCATGGGGGAAATTGGTATTCTCAGAGCATTTGGATGTGTTATAATTCACTGAAATAATGTCACTTAAGAGCTGTTTTACAATGGTTGGTCTCTACATTTTTTTCATCCAAAGGCCTAAATTCTGGGCCAACATTGCAGGGCAGCGGGTTAAGCTGCCACTTGAAATGCCAGTAACCCTTATGTGAGTGGCGGTTGCAGTCCTGGCTGCTCTGCTTCCCATCTAGCTCCTTGCTAATGTGCCCAGGAAGGCCCCTGCACCCATGTGGGAGACCCCGATGGAGTTCTTATCTACTGGCACCAGGTGTGCACCTGGCCCAGCCCTGTCTGTCGCAACCTTTCTCTCTCTCTCTCTCTCTCTCTCTCACTCTGCCTGTTGAATACATCTTTAAAAAAAAAAAAAGATGGGGGAGATGAGTTTTAGTGGAAGGGAATTTAACGCATGGATGTTCCTAATAAAATAAGAAAATACATAATAAAGGATCTGGATTTTGTGTGACTGGTAAAATTGAAGCTGGTTATATCCAACTGGTGACCGACTACTAGCAATGCCTCCAAATGAAACTTGCACTGCAAAAGGTATTCATCTGCAGAATTCTTTTGCTAAACAAGCCTTAAGTTGAGGCAGCAGATTTTTAAAAAGTAGTTTAGTTTTAACTCCAAAGTAAATAAGGTCTTAGTGAAATTGTAACTGACTGTCAAAGTGATACTGACTGTTGAAGATTAAAATATGAAAACATTAAACGATTTGAAAAGCCTTTCAATAAGGTAACTGTATGTTATGCTTGGGATCTGCTCTCCGGGACTGTCTCCAGGATGCTCTCTAGATAAATGAGCCAGTGTCTCTAGGTAGAGTAACTTCGGAGGCCACTTTAAACTTGCATTTTCTTGCTACTATTTCCTTAATCTTTTTTTTTTTTTTTCGTATGACCAGTTATCAATATACAGGTCTCTGGAAAGAGGTTCTCTTTGAGTCTGACGTAGTTCAGATGCTAAAAAGACCATCTGAAATTCAGATTAAGCACTGGAATACTTACGATGAGAAATAATCAGGAGTCAGCCATTTGTGGGCACTTCGTGTTTAGTGGTATTCTAGAAGAGTCAAGTTGAGAGGAAGTGTGTTTTCCTCAACGCTCACAGTTACATTTCTCACTCTCAACTCATTCATATTGAAAATGATGAGTAGTGGCTGATGAAGCACAAATCACCCAGCTCTTTTGGTTGTTATGGTTTAATATTGAGGTGTTTCACTGTATTCTTTGGTTCTTACTCATTTCCAGGAATCACTCTGCATGATGAACCTGTCGACTGGGCTGCAGCGGGTGACCATGTTAGCCTTACTTTGGTTGGGATGGATATCATCAAAATCAAGTGAGAAAATGAGTTTAAGCACCCGTTGTTTTGGAAATGTGCATCAGTTTTGCAATCCACCAACTCAGTTTTCTATCTGACTTAGCAAAAGATAATACTAGTACAATTGTAACACAAAACCAACTTAAAATTGCAATTAATACAAGTCAGCAGACATACATGGCATGTTCTTTGAAAGAAAGCTGTAATATATGAAAATAATTTAAGGTTTCTGATGGTTTAAAGCCATACCTTACCTCAGAAGAAAGTATTAATAAAATCTCTGATTTACTTAATTGTTTTTATTTCTTTGTGTTTTTAGAGATATTCCTGTTGGATGTCAGTTTGTCACCCAGCTACCTTTCTTCTTTTTTGTTTTTTGTGGTTACAGTGTTGGCTGCATATTTTGTGGTCCCAAAGAACCGATTAAAGCTTGTACTCGTTTCAGAGCCCGAATCCTCATCTTTAATATTGAAATTCCTATCACTAAAGGATTTCCTGTAAGTTTCAAAATATTTTATTATTATTTTCATAAATTTAAGGTAACTTTATCCTAAAACATAACAACTTCCTTTATCAATGGTGATGTTATATTTATTTCAGTTAATCTCTTTACTGTAATCCAGAAAAACACAAAATTAGAATTTGAAAAATTTTTTTTTTATTTTGATCCTTGAGCCTAAGGACTTTTTCAAAGCGAGATTGAGAAGATATTTCATAATTAGTACAATATAGACTAATAGCAATAAAATTCATCCAGGGAAAATGGTAAATAACACTTTTACTCTGTTCTGAAGTTTACCTAATATTTTTAGGTATAACATGCTTATTTGCAGTTTTTGTGATTACAAAAGCAGTGGATTGCTTTATAAAACTGCAGAAAACCAAATGTACAGAAAATAAGATTGTTCTATATTTATATAATTCATAGACTGTAGTTTAGCACATTTTGTGTGTGTATATAATCCCTGACCTATGCATGTATTGATATTTAGCTGTATTCTGGGTATCCTTTACATATGGTAAATTTAAATTTTGCTGAAGGAAGTTATTCAGACCCTGAATCTGATGTTGGTTTCCAGGTCATCACTGACCAGTTGCATGTATGCATGGGATTGATCTTTCAACTTTTTAAAGTTAGTCATAGTGTTTTAGATGTTGGAAATAAATTGATTTCACTCATCTAAATTCATTTTATAATTATACACCTTTATTTGAGATAATTGTATACTTTGCTTACAGTCATGTATTTCTGTGTAAATCTGAGCATATAAAATCGTATTTGGAGACACTAGTTAAGTACTTTTATAATAATATTCCATTTCTTGCATACACTAAAAAATAAAGGTGCCCTTTCATAAACATTGTTATAATTGAAGATATTTAATTATAGACCAGTTAAAACTTGTGTATTGGATCAGCAGGTAACTACTACCCTTTAATAGATTGTGAGCGCATGGAACTCATTCATAGAAAGCGGTGTGTCCTGCGCGGAGAAGGTGGAGAGCTTGCTTACTGCGTGTTCTTACTCATGCAATAATAGTGTTTGCCAATGGAGAGGTAGAGAGGTTAAGAGTTCAGCAGTTACTTTGAATAGTAATACTGTCTTCCTGTCTACTGTAGTTTCTTAAAAATAAGCATGAATTGAAAGTATTTCAGCATTACTTTATGACATTCTACGTGCAATATTGATTCACAAATACCAGGATGAAATAAGTTTCAGAAAAAATAGTCATACTCTGTCAATCAACCCACTCTCTTTTGGAGGGAATAAACTTTAAAAAAAGTGGGTTTTTGTAGCCAAGAAAAGGCTGCCTAACAATTAAAATGTCACCCTAATAACTAATTGCTTAATAATGTATCCATGCTTTTAAATTCGCCTTCATTTATATGATAAAGTCTACATTTTTATGAGGAAAAACAGAAAAATTGATTAAATTTTAACTGAATTTATATTTTTTTTAAAGTTTAGTTATTTATTTATTTATATGAAAGGCAGAGAGAGAGATAGATCGATCTTCCATTCTCTGGTTCACTCCCCAAATGGCCACAACAGCCAGGTGTGGACCAGGCTGAAGTCAGAAGTCTGGAACTCTATCCCTGTTCCTACATGAGTGACAGGGGCCCAAGTACTTAGGCCATCTTCCTCAGCCTTCCCAGGCACATTATAGGAAGCTGGAGCAGAGGATCTGGGACTCCAACCGGTGCTCTGATATGGGATACCAGCATCGCAGGCAGCAGCTTACCCCACTGTGCTACAACACCAGCCCCTTGACTTATTTATTTATTTATTTATTTGCTATGGTAAAATATACATAACATAAAATTTACCATTTTTAACCATTTAAAAAATATAATTTAGTGGCATTAAATGCATTCACAATGCATTACCTCTATCCATTTCCAGAACTTTTTCATAATCCCAAACTCAAAATCTGTTCCCATTATCAAACAACTTTGCACTGTCCCCTCTGCCCATGCCCAGGTAACCACTGTTCAACTTACTTTCTATTTGGTGTCTATTCTAGGTCCCTCATGTAATGGAATCATATACTATTCATCCTTTTGTATATGGCTTATTTCACTTAGCATAATGTTTTTAAGCTTCATCCATGTTGTCGCATGTAGTTAGAAATTTCATCCCTTTTTATAGTTTTGAAAAATTGTATTTTATTATTTACTTTAATATTGTGTTTTTAAATTAAATTCTTTAATCATGGAAGCAATCTTTGTGGTTATCAGTACCTACATCACTTTTAACTTCCTTAGGTGTCATAATATTCCTTCTTGTACGTAACAAAACTCATACTGAACAATCAGTTTTGACTGGCAAAAGCAGATTTCTTGAACTTGTCTGTAAGTTGAAAACACACACGAACGCTGTAATCTCATCCTTTCTAAGACTGATTAACATTGCAGTGTGTGTATGTAACAGTTTTATTTGTCCATTTGTCTGTTGGTGGAAGTTTGGGTTGCTCCCATCCTGTGAGTATTATGAATAATGCTGCTATGAAAGGGCTGTGCAGGTGTTTGCTTGAGTCCTTGCTCTCAGTTCTTTTGGACATAGATCCAGGAGTGGGATTGCTGGATCAGTGGTAATTCTGTGTTTGACTTTTTGAGGAACCACTGAAGTGTTTTCCACAGTGGCTGCGCCATTTTACATTTTTACCAGCATTGCACAGGGTTCTGTTTTCTCTACTTCTTTATTTCTTAGTAATGCTTACCTTCCATTTTTCTAGAGATTTTTTTTATTAAAATAATAGCCAAATGAATGGATATAGTGCGGTTTTGATTTGTGTTTCTCTAATGATAAATGATGTTTAGCATTTTTTTCATGTGCTTCTTGGACATTTATGAACCTTTGGAGAAATAGTTCTTTGCCCGTTTTTAAATTAATGATTTCACTTTCACTGTGTTCTTTATGCTCTAAGTATTCATCCCTTATCAGGTTTATAATCTGAAAAAATTTTCTTCTAGGAGTTACCTTTTAATTCTTTTCATACCCAAAAGTTTTAAATTTTGATGGAGTTCAGGTCATTTTTTCTTGTCATTTTCTGTGCTTTTGGTGTCACATCCAAGTAATCGGTGCCAAATCCAGTGTCCTGAAGCTTTTGCCTTATGTTTTCATCCAGGATTTGTATGGTTTTAGTTCTTATGTTCAGGTTATTGATTGGTTTTGAGCTAACTTCTGTGTACAGTATTAGGTAACTCTTGATGTTCATTCTTTTATCTGTGGATGTCCAGTTTTCCCAGCACAATTTATTGAAAAGACTCCTTTCCCTAGTGAATGATCATGGCACCCTTGTTGAAAATCAGGAAACCATACATTCATTCAGACTTTTAGAAGGATAAACCTTAAACCTAGAGGTTTAAGGAAAATCACAACTTACTCTGCCACCTAACAGATTATGTAGTTCATTATACTTTATTGACCCTAAACAAGTGGATTCTCAAAACACCATACGATGGGCCTGGCGCCGTAGCACAGTAAGTTAATCCTCCACCTGTGGCACCTGCATCCCAAATGGGCACCAGTTCTAGTCTTGGCTGCTTCTCTTCCAGTCCAGCTCTCTGCTGTGGCCTGGGAGGGCAGTGGAGGATGGCCCAAGTGCTTGGGCCCCTGCACCCACATGGGAGACCAGGAAGAAGCACCTGGCTCCTGACTTCAGATCAGCGTAGCTCTGGCCATTGCGGCCATTTGGGGAGTGAACCAACGGACTGAAAACTTTTCTCTCTGTCTCTCCCTCTCATTGTCTGTAACTCTACCTCTCAAATAAATAAATAAAATCTTTAAAAAACACACACACACGAAGCACAGACTCCCTGCTCTCATCTGACACCCTTCAAGCTAGTGTGTTTCAAAATTCAGAAGTGTTAGGATTTTAGAAAGGTAAATGCCCCATGCATATTGTGTTAAACCCCTGACAGAGAAGGGGGCAACTTCCTGTAATCAAGCACATCAATGTGTCTGCACCACAGCTTGTTAATATCGTCACTGAGATCAGTAAGACTTGCAAATTGCTTCACTTCTAGTCCATATATTCTATTTAAAAGGGTTTATAAAAGACTTTAGAGACAACTTTAGCTTTTCTGTCTTTTGGGGTTTTGGAGTCACAGATAAAGGAACGTGACCTGTATTAGTGTTGTCTCTGCTTATGGAGGAGAAAGTAGAGACCCTGAGAGGTTATGATTTTTTTGAATATCCAAATGCCTAAGCCAGGACCCCTTATTCATCACCTTCACTCTGAAGTCCAATCCATTTTTGTTTTTAATATATTACATATACATATGTATAGTTTTATTTATTTATTTATTTTTGCTGTTGTACCATGCTACAGATTATTTCGAATTATGAATGATTTTGGTTATAAGAGACTACTTCAGAATCTTCTTGGAAAAATGTAATTAAAAGATAAAGTTTATTTTGTTTTTTTTTTTCTTTTTTTTCAAGATTTTATTTATTTTATTTGAAAGTCAGAGTTACACAGAGAGAGGAGAGGCAGAGAGGGAGAGGTCTTCCATCTGACAGTTCACTCCCCAAGTGGCCACAACGGCCGGAACTGCACTGATCTGAAGCTAGGAGCCAGGAGCTTCTTCCCGGTCTCCCACATGGGTGCAGGGGCCCAAGGACTTGGACCATCTTCTACTGCTTTCCCAAGCCATAGCAGAGAGTTGGATCGGAAGTGGAGCAGCCGGGTCTTGAACCAGCACCCATATGAGATGCCGGCGCTTCAGGCCAGGGCGTTAACCCACTGTGCCATAGCACTGGCCCCTATAAAGTTTATTTTGATATAAAACTATTTTGAAATCCATGCATGAGGGATCTTCAAAATGATTATGGAAAATTTGTACTAAGGGAAAACTATGCGTGGATTTCAAAATATTTTTACACTGAAAGAAACATTTTTTAATTATATTTTCCCACAAACTTTTTGAGATATCTGCACATATAATGTGAATTAGAATGTTAAGATTTTCTCTTTCTACCATACCTATGCTGTAGACATATTGCACACTAAAATCTTGTTAACTGAATGAAGATGGTCAGCCTATGTATGTTCTGGTTTGAATTAGGACCCATATAAGCCTTAGCTTCCTCTTTTATAAAATGAGAAGTTCCATCTCTGTGATTTCTACAGGCCCCTTGGTAAGCTGAAGTGGGAAGAGCTAGTGTAAAATTCATCTCAGAAACATAGCATCATGGCCACATTAAATTATCAGTTTTTGATAAGAATTTTCCTTACATGTAAAACATGGACAATAATCACTAACATAAAAGGTCATCAATTAATTAACTGTTTTACCATGTGCCAGGCACTATTTTAAAATAACATCTGGATTTCCTTGTTTTAGTGAGAAGAATGTAAGGCTGGGGATTTGGGGAGGAGAGGATTAAGAACTTGCCCCAAATGAAAGTGATTTGCATGCAGATCTGTCTCCCATACAGATAAAATTTAATGTTATTATTATTACTGAAATTCAACGAATGCCTTCACCCATTATGTCTCATTGTTCTATATATAGGACACCTATAAGGACACTATAAAGACTTAAATTGAGCAGTAAATATACCGCTTATAACTTTGAAATATTTTCAGAATTGAAAACTTGGGACTTAGTGGGTTGGTTGCTACTGTATATGATAGTATCGCCTTCCCTCATTTTTAGGATGAAGCCGTTCACAGTTGTTGAACATTGCTGTGCCAGGCAGTATCTCTCATCCTATTGAATTCCCATCACAACTCTGTAAATGCCAGCACCATTGCGATTCAATCCCAAGTTCCGTAGTACTGTATGTAATTATAGCAACAGTAACATCTGTTGTAAATGATAAATTCTCTTAATCTTTACAACAACCCTATGATAGTGTTATCCTCTGTCTTTATAGAGGAAGAAGCTGATAGGAAGCTTATGCAGTTGACTAAAATGTACACAGTACTTGGTGGGGTAGAGATTTGGCCTTCCCCTTGGGGTAAGTGGAGCAACCTCCTGATAGAGCGGTGGGTCTTAGGGGAAGCAGTTGGAGACCCTGAAAGCCTGCAAGCAGTGCCCTGAACTGGATAGAATTAAAGGAAGCGCCTAAAGACAAGGTGGCCGGTGCTGCAGTGACCGGTGGTTAGTGTTAGCAATTTTTGTTTCAGGTGCTGTTACACTACCAGACTGTCAGTGAACCTGCTGTGATCAAACGCTTGATTAGCGTCTTGAACAAAAGCACCGGTGAAGTCACGAAGAAGAAGCCCAAGTGAGTGTTTTAGTGCAGAAATACTAACAACAATTTAAGTGAATTCCCTTCACACTGATCCATTTGTATCATTCGTGGCAAATGAAATCCATTTTTCTTCCAGAAATTATGTTTTCCAAGCATTAGACTAAAACAAAAATAAAAACAAATATTTAAGCTCATGTTTATGTGTGACTACTTGGTATAATTTCTGTGTTGTGTACTGTGGTAGGAGATGTGAATGGAAATTAAAAATGTAAATATAAATTCATATATATACATACATACATTTACATGATAAAAATAAAGGCATTGAAAACACCAGGCCTACGTTTGAACCATGTTATTTTTTTTTAAGACTTATTTATTTGAAAGAGTTACAGAGAGGCAGAGGCAGAGGCAGAGAGAGAGAGAGAGAGAGAGAGAGAGAAAGAGAGAGAGAGACTTCCACCCGCTGGTTTATTCCCCAAATAGTAGCAATGGCCAGAGCTGAGCTTATAGGAAACCAGGAGGCCGGAGCTGTGAGCTTTTCAGGGTCTTCCTACACAGGTGCAGGGGCCCAAGTACTTGGGCCATCTTTTATTGCTTTCCCAGGCCATAGCAGAGAGCTGGATCAGAAGAGGAACAGCTGGGACTTGAACTGGCGCTCATATGGGATGCCGGCACCACTGGTGGAGGCTTGGCCCACTATGCCACAGTGCTGGCTGCAGGCCTACATTTTTAATGATGAGTTTGAATTATGTCTAACCACTGATTCCAGATTTCAGATTCACGCTTTTCTTACCTTGTCACCTCCTTGGTGAGGTCCTTCCCTATGCTAAGAGGACAGTGACCTACATGTTGTGTAGCAATGCCTTTTTCCCCCCTTGGAAAAAATCTTTTTCTTCCTGCTCAGAGCCCACCTGGAGCCATCAGCTGAGGTGGCCAGCATGTCAGTCCCTCTGATTATCACTTAATATCCAGGTCTAGGTGTGGACAGTGTGCCTCTGACTGAGAAAAGGTTGGCACTTTGCACAGGAAGTACTTCTGTAAAATTAAGCACCGTAAATAAAAACAAAAGACGCAAGACTAGATGTGACTATTACAGCATACGGGTTTCTTACCCTGATTCAACTAAAGGCTAGGCACAGTTTGGCTTGACTGCTTCAGCTTTGGGGTTTTCCTCAACTTCAACCCCATGGGGAATCCCACCCAAAATCCCCCATTTTCAGTCCTGGGGTGTTCCTCATCCTCTGCACCTGCATGAGGGGCCAGAGGTGATGGGGGGTGTTAGAGGGTTGGCTGCAAGTGGAGAGAGAACCCCCACACTGCTGGGAACCCACACTTGCTCTCTGTTAGGAGGAAAGGGCTTCTTTACCTTTCTCTTAAAGGTGGCTCTTTATTTTTGACCTGAGCCCGTAGCTTCTAACGTGAGTGTCTCAGGGTGTTCTGAGAGACATGTTGTCACTATGTGACTAACAGTTCTAGTCAGAATGCTTTCATATGATTTGTAGTCTCAGCACCCGAATGAAGCAGCTAGCAAAGTGGAACATGTGGCAGAGGCAGGATTCTAACGCAGTCCTTGTTTAAGTAAACCGTATTCTCATGCAGGAGCCAGGTTGTTTGACCCAGGCAGTTGATTTGGAGAACTTTCAATCTGAAGTTTTACTCATTATACCTAAACCTGAGTTGTGCCCTCACTGCTCCTGTTACAAAATCCTAGCTCAGAGGTGCTAGGGCTTCCTGTATTCTCATGCTAGTTTTCCCTGTCACCTTACTGGGAGCTTTGTCCTTTTCTCTATGTTGCACCAATACCATTTGACCTCTCCTTCATTTCAGTTCAGGAACATCATAAACCCTTTTTTGCTTTATGCAGACTGGAAGTGAACTTTCTTGACAACAAAATTTAGCATAAGTCATGAATATATTAGTTGTTCTTCTTTTAAAGGAATTAGATCTAGGGTTGAAATTATCCAAAGCTGGGACCAGCACTGTGGCGCAGTGGGTAAAGCCTCTGCCTGCAATGCCGGCATCCCACATGGGCACCAGTTCGAGTCCTGGCTGCTCCACTTTCCAACCAGCTCTCTGCTATGGCCTAGGAAAGCAGTAGAAGATGGCCCAAGTGCTTGGGTCCCTGCACCCATGAGGGAGATTTGGAAGAAGTTCCTGGTTCCTGGTTCCAGATTGGCAGAGCTCTAGCCGCTGTGGCCATCTGGGGAGTGAACCAGTGGATGGAAGACTTTCTCTCTCTCCCGGCCTCTCCTTCTCTCTCTGTGTAACTCTGCCATTCAAATAAATAAATCTTAAAAAGAAAAGAAATTATCCAAAGCTAATATTTGAAAAATTTGATTTTTTTTAAAGAAACTGATTGATCTGTCCCTGAACTAGTTGTCCACAGAATTTGTGATTTCTGTCCCCCATCCTTCTGGAGGACATCAAAGTTAAATTACGGAACACTTTCAAAATATGACCCTTTGGAATCTGTCTCCTTCACAGGGAATGTAGGGCTGGGGCCCATGATTAGGACTTTTTTGTGTGCTTGTATCTTTGCAACCATTTCTAATCTGGCCCATGCCTCAGCCTCTTTCATTTCCTGTAAGTATTATATGCTGAAAAAACCTCTTAAAAGATTTTGTCCTAAACCTCTGCTATATGAGGAATATGTGTGGAGGTTAGGAGGGATGTGGGAGGAGAGAGTATGGATTAGAATTTTACCAGAAAAAAGACATAGAACATTGCATTAATACCTTCTTATAGGATTTAACCTTAGTTATCACTTTATTAAATAATGGAACTTTTCAATTTCTTGAGGGAAGGAAGGGGAAAGAATTGATTAGGACAACTAACATTTTAGGTTAAAGGATAGAGTTGCATTTGGAAGGGTGTGTGTATGTGTATGTGTGTGTGTGTGTGTTGAGTGTGAAATGTTTATTTTTCAGGTTCTTGTTATTACATTTATTTGCCTCTATTGCTTATTCATTTGCTCCTTTTTCCCCCTCCTTAAAAGGTTGTTGACTAAAGGCCAGAATGCATTGGTGGAACTACAGACACAAAGACCAATAGCACTGGAGCTGTATAAGGACTTTAAGGAGCTGGGGAGGTTTATGCTACGCTACAGTGGTTCTACGATAGCTGCTGGTGTCGTCACTGAGGTATTGGAAAGTGACTGGTTTTATATACATGGCTATGATGTCTAGTTTTTACTTTGAAAGAAGATTACTGAAATGGCTTAAGGGAAGCACAATTAAGGTATTAGGAAAGAAATTAAAACTATATTAAACGATAAGAAAGAAAAAGTTTGATCTAAAACCAGGCTGTGGCGTGCAGTCCAAATTACGAGAGTAGAGGCTGCAGGAATCGAATTCATTGGGAGTAATGATTTGTTTAATAGAAGAGCCCTCATTTGTTTTCATGAAAAACTGGTTAACATCTTAGTGATGTTTCTGAAACCTGTGTACTATATATAATGCAAAGTTCAGTTGAGTTTTGGGAAAATGGCCAAAAACTAACCAGGAAATTTCAATAATTTAAATTCTACACTACCATAATTAGCATGAATCTTATGAATATTATATTTTAGAGGGGACTTTATTAATTCATGATTGTTTTCTTCATTGAATGATTTGATTTATTTAATTGGAGAAATACTTTGAAAACAGAGCTTAAATTGAGTCAAAATTTATTCAGTTACACATGTAATCATATAAAACCTATCTTTTTAAGGTTCTAAGGCACCAAGAGATATGTACATCATTTGTGTAACTCTGTGTGGAAGGCAGTATAGGGTGGAGACCGACAGAGCGGGCTCAGGGTTCAACTGCCCATTGATGTTGCTGCTCTACCCATTCTAGCCCCACAGGAACATTTTCCTGTAAGTGTATTCATTTATGAACGCGGTATTATGGAATCTGCCTCCCAGAGTTGTGAAGTCTGTGCAAAGAAAGCACTTGGCACAGTAATTGGCACATGTAAAGCATTTAGTACATGTTAGCTAGTTTTGTTGCCAACAGCATCATTTAATTTATTAAGTCCTTCTCTGGGTTATAAAAATAAGAGAGTTTCTGAAGGAAAATAAAATATTATAAAGTAAACCTTAGAAGTAGTGTGACTGAGGAGGAGAAGAAAAAGTAAAATATTATCTCTGAATATAAAGATCACTTCGCGGCCGGTGCCGCAGCTCACTAAGCCAATCCTCCGCCTATGGTGCTGGCACCCCAGGTTCTAGTCCCAGTTGGAGCGCCAGATTCTGTCCTGGTTGCTCCTCTTCCAGTCCAGCTCTCTGCTGCTGGGAAGGCAGTGGAGGATGGCCCAAGTCCTTGGGCCCTGCACCCCATGGGAGACCAGGAGAAGCACCTGGCTCCTGGCTTCGGATCCGCGCAGTGTGCCGGCTATAGCAGCCATTTTGGGGGTGAACCAACAGGAGGAAGACCTTTCTCTCTGTCTTTCTCTCTCACTGTCTAACTCTGCTGTCAAAAAAAAAATCACTTCGCTGTCATTTTCCCTTTCTTTGTTCTGGTCATGCAGATGATTAAGTTTTGCTGTTTTTTTAAATTTACAGATAAAAGAATGATGGATCCGAATTTCAGAGCATCTCCAAATACAATGAAATAACTAACCTCAGGATTTAAAGAATCCAGTTATTCATGTAAAGGAACAATGTATACGGATAAATTGATTTTTTTAATTGGGGAAAAAATTAAAGATATAATTAACTGCAAAGAAGTATATTAAAAATCACTCCCACAAAAAAAGTTGCCAACTGAGAAAGAAAGTCTAGTGTGCTTTCATTTGAAAAACCAGCTTTCCCTTCGAAATGTTGGTGAATGGATTGACTTTGCTGAGATTTTATGGCAAGTGTGAGAAACAGTATTAGAAGATATAATTATCATGCAGTGCACCCTTCTTCCTGGCAGACCACAGAATATTTGCAGTTTTCTCTTTTGATTCAACTGAACTGCACACATTTTAAGGAAAAGTAATTAAACTGGGATTTTTGAGGTTGTTGACATTTGAACTGGGCCCCTTTTTTTGTTAACTCTAAGATTTGCTGAATGTTACAATAAAAGCATTTTGTGTTGAGCATACATATGTTCCTCCAACAAGTAAACTTTTGAAAGCTTAATTTGGAATTAGTGGAAGCTGTTCCTTTCGCGCCCGAGACATTATTTAAGTTGTAAAGCCTGCTAATAAAATACTATAGTCTGAGCATAATGCACAGTGTGTTTTGTTCCTTGGACGTCCATGAGAGACTCTGCCACCCTTGTCATCTGACTGGGGTGTTTGTTCTGTTTCTTGACTATTTCACATGCATTCTTGCTTTTTTCCTACCAGCAGATCAATTTAGGTCTCAGCCTTTCCTAACCATAACTGTGTCCCCAGTTCTCACTTTCAGAATTACATACGTGATCTGAGGCACACAGATCTCACAAAGCTTAGAGATTCGGTGCACTATGACTAAGAGTCAAGTGTTTCTTTCAAGTTTCAACAACAAACCCCAAGGTTTACATATTTAGTAAGTGTGCAGGGTCTTCACAAAGTTCATGGAAAATGCATATCATGAGAAAATTATGCATGGGTTTCCATTTTTTTTATACCAAAACAAACTTATTTTTTGATTCCATTTCCCAGCAGCCTTTTGCAGTGCCTTCGTATTTGTTGTTACCTCCCGGGCGCAGGGAACTTGGGAGGAGACCTAGTCTGCAGCTGAGCCTGGGACTCTCAGGGAGTTTTATAATTTTTTAAAATCAGAAAGCGGTGTGGTTTATTCACACCATGCACGGCTTACCATGCACAACAGGATTTCTTCTTAATTAAAGAATATCACCCATATGGAAGAGTGCACAGCTTTAATGTGCCGATCAGTGAATGACCGCCAGGTGAACATACATACCCATACGGTGTGCTTCCTCACTGAGCAGTATTTGTCGCCTCAGAGTGAACTTGCTGAGATAAGGAAGTGTTTCACTCATGTATTCTATTAATCAGAACTTGAACGTATACATGTGACAGAAACCTAACTTCAAGTGACGGAAGCAACAAAAAAGTTTTTGCCTGACAAGAAGCCCTAGCTTTGTGTCAGTGCAGACTCAACAGCTCACAGTGTCAACAGAACCCTTCCAATGCCAAGTTCCTAACGAGACAGCGATTCTGTACGCACATCCAGGGAGGGGAGAGCAGGCTAAAGGAAAGAGCGTGTGTTTTCCGGAAGTCCTGGACTAGGAAAGCTCCTTCTTGGCCGCAGTTGAATTGTGCTGCTTTTCCTGGAACGCCCCTGCAGTTGCTGGTGAAGTGAACGTCCGCAGAGCACTTAGCTGAGACGGTGAGATTCAGGGTGCTGTTGGGAGAGGAAAGTGATTGGGACAAGGAGGAGCAAAACCAAGAAAGTTCCACTCTGTGTGTTATGTAAGGACATGGCAGAAGTAAGAGTTTAACTTCAACAAATAGTAGTAGAGGGAATTAATGAGTTCGTCCATTTCTATGTCTATGTCCATTTCTATTTAGTTGTGATACACTGCAATCTTTTTGTTTACATTGTGTTTGCGGTTGCCTGTTGGTGAAGGGAGGAATGAAGTCACTTAGCTGACCCACTGTATGGGAGGAGCGCTGGCAGTGGAAAGCTGGGGTTAATCAAGAGACAAAGAGGGGCTGGCGTGGTGGCACAGGGGTTAAACTGCCACTTGCAGGGCTTCCAGCTGCTCCGCTTCCAACCCAGCTCCCTGCTGATGCGCTTGGGGAAGCAGCTGATGATGACCCATGTGCTGGGGCCCCTGCACCCGCCTGGAAAATCTGGATGGAGTGTCATGTTTGGCCCTTTGGGAAAAGTGAACCAGCAGATGGAAGAACTCTGTGTATCCCCCTTTCTCTCCCTCTCTCTCATTCGTCCTTTTATTTGAAAGGAAATCTTAAGGAAAGGAGGAGAAAAACAAAACAAAACAAGAACAGCAGGCATGCCCAAGCTTGGTTGTGATCTGATTTCTTGGCCTGACTCTTCCATCTACACTTAATAATACATCCATTTCGTGTCATTTTGCTTCACATGCTTGTCCTGACTTCCTTTAAGCTTAGTGGTGTCCGTGCACGGCTAACTTTGTCCTCTGCCCTTGACTGTACTGAGGCTGTAATGAAGAGTATAAGGCCACCACAGAACACACCAAACACTGGCGTAAGGGAAAGAGTTGAGCGGGGGAAACCCGACAGTCTGGAGGGAAGGGACAAAGAAGGAAAAGAGGGAGAGCGGAAGAGACAGAGACAGAGATGGATGTCAGGAGACAGAGTGGAAGAGAGGAGGGGAGAGAGCGACACATGTCCAGGAGCAGGTCCTTTTAAAACTTCAGTGGGGAGGGGCAGGCAGGGAAGTAGGAGCCTCGAATCCCATTAGGATGGGGGTGGAGCTTGACACCAGTGGTTGGGCCACATGGCCACCTGGCTTCCAGCAATGGCTTGGGGGGGGGGGGTACAGCCTAGGATGGTGTCAGGTGTAGATCCTACCATAGATAGGACTGCGCAATTTTCCTAACAAAGAGTTGCCTCTAGGGTTAACCTGGGTTGGAAAATACAGAATTGCATTTTCATTTGTTAGTGTTTTTTCTCACACTGATTTATGATAATATTTGAGCCTCTCTATCGTGAGAGATGTTTTAGACTAGAAATGTTTTTCTCCTATGAAAATGCAAATCAGTATTTTCGATTTTGTTAAAACACAATCATATTCACTTCAGATAATTTGGGGAATACAAAAAAATATAGGGAAGAATAAAGTTCACCCAGAGTTCCATCACTGCAAAATAACTGACTTTTTTTTTTTTTTTTTTGAGATTTAAAAGTATTTATTAGAATCAAGGACCTCCAGCCAGAGTGACGTGGAGGGGGGCTTCCAAGAGAGGAAAACCCAAAGGGAACTGGTGGCAGCCGGCTTTAAGTACAATTTGGAAGGGAAAAAAAAAAAAAAAAAAAAACTTGAGGATTAGATTGACATTCAGTTACCAGTCGGGACAAAAAACATCAAAAGACCTCATTTACAATTCTCTGTCCTGTGTAAGGGTGGGGTAGATAACTTGTTTTCACTATAAGCTGTCAGCTCTGGAGGAGCTCCCTTGCTATTCTCATGGTAAATTTGGAGTTTCCAAAGGTAGGAGAGCAGGCTGTGTTCTTGCTAAATTTAAAATTTGGGGGAAGAAAGCAAGTATTTTACATCCCAAATTCCAGTGGAATCCCTCGACTTTTAACCCATCTGACTCCTCTCAGTATAGTGGGTTAAGGCACTGCCTGCGACACTAGCATCCCATATGGGGGCCCGTTCGTGTCCCCGCCACTCCACTTCAGACCCAGCTCCCTGCTAAAGCACCTGGGAAAGCAGCAGAAGATGGGCCAAGTACTTGGCCCCTGTCACCCACATCGGAGACCTGGATGAAACTCCTGGCTTCAGCCTGGCCCATTTTTGAGAGTGAACCAGCAGATGGTAGATCTATTTCTCTGTCTCTCCTTTTCTCTCTGTAACTCTCTTTCAAATAAATAAATTAAAAAAAAACTCCCTTGCTTCCTAATTCAATTATGCACCTGCCATATTCCAGGCAAGTAGAAAACTGTGGAGCTCAGATTGTCCTCGGGCTGACAGTCCAGCAAGGGGAAAGGGTTTCCCAGGCCAATGAAGTCCAAGGAGTGATATCGGGAATGACCCCCTAAAATCTACACCAAAATGTGGCCCCTTAAGGCTCCCAGAAGCGCCATCTGGGATGCCACGTGTGCTACTGGAATTTGGGTGCTATATGATATCAGCTTATACTTATCAATAAATCCCCAATATTAATAAGCCCGAGAGGGTTCTTGCCTAATATTTAGAGAAGAATTTTAAATACCGGCACAGATAAACAAGGCAGCATGGTACATTTTAAGCTTTTATTTAGTAAGAAAGATGCATAGGAGAGTGAGGGCTTTATTAAGAGAGAGAGGTAAATCTGGGTTCATACCAAGCACCAGGAACCAGCCACATGGAGGAGCATCTAGGCCAGGAAGCTGAGGGGGGTGGCCCGAAGGCCAAGAGCCCTGGAGGCTCAGGGCTACAGCAAGCCCCCTCCTGGCAAGAGGCCAGGGCCGAAGAGAAAGGCTGGACACACAGTGTCTGGCTTTTAACCAGCTTCCAAAGGGGTGTGGTTAATTAACATGATTGGCTGGTGGGCACCCAGGTGTGGCCAGGTAGGGGCATGAGGTCACACAGGGGCGTGGCAAAGGCGTGGTCTTCCAGCTCACAAACCTAATCAATTTTAACCTGTATGCCTGCCTACTTCAGGAGGATTAACCACATGAACGCATCCAGGAAGAACATAGCTTGAAGACAAAGCAGGAGAACCAGGTGAGGAGGAACTTCTGTAAGTGCTGGTAAACCTTATATAAAATATTTATCTGTGTCAAAGAGATTCAGCTTGTCGATAACCTTCCCCTGCCAATTCGGGAAGATGGTATATGAGAAAGGAGGTCAAGTTTTCCATCGGCAAAATCATCCAGCTGGGCAGCGTTTGGTGTCCACTGGCAGAAAGCCTCAGTGCCAACGACAGACCCTATCTAACTCTGATAAGAAGGTCACACTGGTTTGAGTGCCACAATGCCATCAGAACTGGCACAAGCCAGCAGGGCCCCACACTGAGGCGAGGGCGGGTCCAAAAGGAGAGAGGAGCCCAGCTAACCCCAGGACTGCTTGTGCTGGTCTTTCTTCCGATGCCCACTGCCCCATTTTGAAGTCTTTCTTTCCTTGACTAGGATGACCCCCAAGCCCAAAGGATTCGAAGATGTGTGCATTGCAGGAAAGAAAGCAGCCGTCAGTTGGCTGCCAAGAACTCCAGCACTCAAGTGGACAGGTGGTTGAGGGCTTCCCAGCACTTGGCATGGAGACTTTTCTTTTTATTCAAAGGTGATTAAGAAATACAGTGCCGACCTGTGGAAAAGTGTGCAGTACAGGAAGAGTAGAATAGTGTTCTGAGCACATGGAAGCAAGACTTCTCTTTCAGGTTTTCTGCAGGAAGAAGTTTTCTTTGGATACCTGCTGTGTGGTGCCTGTAAGAATGTTGGCCATGTGGAGAAAACAGTTGGAATGGCTTAGGGGAGATTACATGGGAACCTACATCGTGACAGCTAAATTCATGTACTCATTGCAGACTTAATAGATTAAGCTTGAACAAAATGGGATTGGTGACAGAGAAAACCGACCTTGGAAACCCATTCTTAGAGTGCACAGAGGTGAGTCAGCAGACTCCAGGTCAGCTCGTGAAGAGAGAGCACCCTATTGTGCGCAAAGGTCACAGAGAGATTATAACTGCATGCTCTGTTAAACTTTTAAAATATTTAAAACAAACCTTTGAAGAAACGTCAGGGCTGTGACTCAGCAGGTTAAAGTCCCAGCCTGCAGCACCGGCATCCCATATGGGTGCTGATTCGAGACCCGGCTGCTCCTGTTCCGATCCAGCTCTCTGCTGTGGCCTGGGAAAGCAGTAGAAGATGGCCCAAGTCCTTGGGCCCCTGTACCCATATGGAAGACCTGGAAGAAGCTCCTGGCTCCTGGATTCAGATTGGCTCAGCTCTGGCTGTTGTGTCCTTTGGGGAGTGAACCAGTGGATGGAAGACCTCTCTGTCTCTCTGGCTCTACCTCTCTCCATAGCTGTCTTTCAAAAAAAAAAATAAAATAAATTAAAAAAAAAAAAAAAACCACCAGAAATGATTAGCCAGCCTCCAGCAGTACTGCAGCACTGAATTCCTAAAGACAAAGGTATACAGGAGCAAAATAGCTCCGAGTACCTACGGGTAAAACTCTTAACTCCCAGGGATTTTAACACACAATACATTTTAAATGAATTTATGCAGCTAGGCTGCTGCTGAGAGAGGAGGCTAAGAATCCCAGCAGGCGAAAGAGTGCATGGGTGGCCGGTGCCACGGCTCACTAGGCTAATCCTCCACCTTGCGGTGCCAGCACACCGTGTTCTAGTCCCGGTTGGGGTGTCAGATTCTGTCCCGGTTGCTCCTCTTCCAGGCCAGCTCTCTGCTGTGGCCAGGGAGTGCAGTGGAGGATGGCCCAGGTGCTTGGGCCCTGTATCCCATGGAAGACCAGGACAAGCACCTGGCTCCTGCCTTCGGATCAGCGCGGTGCGCCAGCCCCAGTGCGCTGGCCGCAGCGGCCATTGGAGGGTGAACCAACGGCAAAAGGAAAACCTCTCTGTCTCTCTCTCTCACTGTCCACTCTGCCTGTCAAAAAAAAAAAAAAAAAAAAAAGAGTGCATGGGGAGGCAGGATGGAAAAATACTCAGATCATTCCAATTCAGGATTGGGGAGGTGGTGGTGCAGCAAGCATCGTTGGTTAGTGTCAGCAAAGACCTCCAGGACACAGCTGTCATCAATGTGTGACTGATGCCGCAGCAGACACGCACACCACTGGGGAACGCGGTGCTTCTCAGGGAGATGTGCGAAGGGGGCTTGTGCAGTCTGAGCCCGAGCAGGTAATTCTGAGGAGGGCTCCAGTGAGCCACCCTTTCTTCTGGCGTGAGTGTTGTCAGCAAGAGGGGTAATTGTGGGATTAGCGTCCAGGTTCATGTGAGAGAGGAATGGAAAGAAGTTGGAGTTACTCACGTTAGCCACAAGAGGGAGTGTGTAGCCGTTTTTCTGGTTTGCAAATGAGTGTTTTGGTCTGTACTGGCCGTAAGTACAGTGTTTCATTTTGTCAGGACCATGGAGTAATCTTGTCTGGTGACAGAGCTGAGAATTGTTAACCAGCAGAACATTGTGACATAGCCATGGATTCCCAGGCCAGCTCTTTGCTGTCAGAACTGCTTTTTCTCTCTCAGTGAAGCTATTCAAATATATAGAAGTAAATTTAACAACAACAAAAAAAAGTAAATTAACTGTATAGTTGTAAAGTATAATGTAAAACAAAAGAATGAAATAAGTGAATTGAAGTATACCTCCAAATATGACATAAAATATGAGGAAAGGAAATGTATTAAATTACTGATAGCCTGTGAGAGGAGTATATTATTTTGTTTATTATTCTGATAACACATAAAACAAGTTTTAAGAATGTTTAGGAGAGCCACTAAATAGAACGAATAAAAGTATTCATGTCAGTGCAAAAGACAAAAGTGAAAGACAAGAGAGACCTATTTTGTACAAAACAGTTAATCAAATGAAGACAAAAGATTGCAATTATTACAGTAAATGAAAATCTGTATTTTTCTCTTTAAAAGAGGGACGCAAGCTGCAAAACTAAAATTTACCAAAAAAAATGCCAATAATAGAAACACGATTGAAAGAAAAGGCACAAATGTGTGGAGGAATGAAAAAAAAATGATCAGTTAGTTGGATTCTACCTCATGCCAGGCAATTTTCATACAATAGTTCATTTCCTTACTTATTTTATATGTTTTCCCCAAGGTTGTGATTTCTTAAAAAAAAAAAAAAATTGAGCAGCAGACAAACAGAGCTGCCATCCACTGATTGATTCCCCAAAGGCCTACAACAGCTAGTGTTGGGCCAGGGCCAGAGCAGGGAGCCTGGAACTAATCCAGGTCTCCACCTTTGTGGCAGTGATCTAACTACCAGAGCCATCACTGCTGCCCTCTAGGGTCTGTGCTGGCAGGAACCTGGAGTCAAGAACCAGCGCTGGTAATTGAACACAGGTACCCGGATATGGGTCACAGACATCTTAACCACTAGCCTGAATGTTTGCTCCCCAGACATGCTTTAAAATCAACCCATGCAATGTTTAAAAGTGAAAAATCAATAATTGAAACTATAAAACTGGTATTAAACAGATCAGGTACACCTAAAAGAAAAAATAAGTGATTTGAAACAGGATTTGAAACAGGATCAGGATCCTGTTACCCAGGATACAGGACACAGAGAGAAAGATATGAAGAGAATTCATGTTGATTAGAATGAGAAGCCTTGTAGAAAATTTAAAGTATGACAGAGTGGGAACAGAGAGAAGAGGTATACAACAATATTTAAAGTGTAAGTAGCTGAAAAATTTTCAGAACCAATCATGAAAGACGTGAATGTACAAGTAAAAGCAGCACAATATATTCCAAGTTTGGCAGATAAAAAGAAATCCGCATCTAATTACACGGCAATGAAAACTGCAGAATACCCATGGCTAACATCCTGAAATGGGTCAAGGAGAAAAGTCAAATCTCCTACAGAGGAACAGAAATTCACAACCAAAACAGAAAACAGAAGTAGCAGGGTTAAAGAAAAGGGTTAAAGTTTGTACCAAGATTAAGAGTTTGTTCACCCATGGACTCTTAAAAAAAATTAACAGCAGAAAATGCTACCCATCCAAAGCTCTATCTCACCCCCTTTGCTGCTCTGCCAAACTAGACTAGGTCATTTACATAAACTATTTATTGATTATGGTTCTTGAGGCTGCGAAGTCCGAGAGGAGGGTGCGGGCAGGTCAGCTGGCTGGTGAGGGCTCTGCACTTTGAAGATGGCACCCCTGGCTGCATCTGCACAGGGCTGGAGTGGCGCACAGAAGGCCTGGTTCCCTGAGGCCCTTTCATGAGGGCACGGACTGCATCCACGCAGCAGGACCCTCATGGCCCCTCATAGTTCACCTCCTAAATCCCCTGCTTCTTGATACCACGAGTGCATTGGGTGTTACATTTCAACACGAGTTGTGTAGGAACATAAGGAGCAAACAATAGCACCCTGTTTGGAAAAGAAAGGTTTCCCGGCTCCTGTGGCCCCGCCAGGCTCAATGAAGAAGTGGATTTATCATAAAGAGATAGATTCAGACACTGTTGAGTAGATTCCAGTGTTTTGGTGTAGAAAGTTAAGCCTGTGCCTGCACTGTTCACATCCTACAGGGGTGCCTATTCAAGACCTGGTCCAGACCCTGCTGCTCTACTTTCGATGCAGCTCTTGGCTAATGCACCTGGGAAAGCAGTAGAAGATGGCCCAAGTCCTCGTGCCCCTGCAGCCTCGTGGGAGACCCTGAAGAAGCTCCTGGCTCCTGGCTTTGCACCAGCCCAGCTCTGGCTTTTGAGGCCATTTGGGAAGTGAACCGGCGGGTGGAAGACCTCTCTCTCTGACTCTCCTTCTCTCTGCCTGTAACTGTAACTCTCAAATAAATAAGTAAATCTTAAAACACACACACACACAATTAGGGGGAGACGTAGTCCTAATGTTCTATAGCACAATAGGGCAGCTGTAGTAATTAATTATACATTTCAAAATAATTGGAAAAGATTTTGACAATTCTCATCACAAAGAAATGATAATATTTGAGATAGAAATGCAAATTACCCTGATTTGATCATTATATGATATATACATGTGTTGAATTATAATACTTTATCCAACAAGTAAGTGCACGTGTTGTATAGCAATTAAAGTATAAAAATTAAAGAGGGAAGCAATGATATTTGCTTCATATAAGATTGTTTTGTGGAGCAAATGAGTAAACTAATGAAAAGGACTTGCCTCAAGGCCTGGTATTTGATCAGTATTTGAGCAATAAAATCATGCACACAGAAGCCTTTTGAAGAGTCTAAGGGGCTGTGTGCTATAAGTGGGTGTCAGTTCAGCACCTTATTGCTTATTTTCCATAAAGTCTTGGAAGCCTGACGCATATTTGAGGGCTCCCTTGGTTCTGAGTTTGGAGACTGGGAAACTGAGAGTGGCAGGTCTCCTCCCACTTCCACTGAGTGACAAACAAGGATATAAAGACCAGAAGAGAGGAGAGGAACTCAGAAGTGGGGGCAGCTGGGTGACTGAGGGGAAAGGGGAAGGCAGAGTTTTTCCTTACGATGGCTGCGACAGAGGCACCTTTGGTACTGGAAAACTTCATAGGCGGAACATTTGTACCTTGCAAGTCTTACATAGATTCTTATGACCCATCGACTGGAGAGGTGTATTGCAAAGTACCCAACAGTGGCAAAGAAGAGGTGAGTATATTCCCTCAGAGGCAACCGAATTTAATATTTAAGACACTGGAATATTGTGGGGAAACTAATTTCTGAAGGCAAAGGGAGGTGGAGGAAGGTCCAGAATTGTTAAACATCAACAGAAGGAAGACTGTGGTTCTACGAAAGTTCGTCGTGTAACCGGGTATAGGTGGTAGACCAAATGTTGGGCTATTCTGCCCGAAAGAAAGTTGATTTTCTAACCAGCCTAACACAAGTCTGGATATGTAGTTTTCTTTCTTTTTTTTTTTGGGGGGGGGGGGCGGGGGCAATCCTGACATTCCCTGATAGAAGTAACACAGTTCTCTAAAAAGAAAACAGACTAAAAACCCCTAGGGCTTAGTTGTAGATTGTTCTCTAATGATTCCTCATGTTTTCAAAATATCTAGTAAAATAAAATCAGTCATTTGAGTGACAAAACTCAAAATCAAATTCCCATAGGTTTTGGGATTTATATTTAACAGCATATTTTTCTTACTCAAAGTGCTTAATGGTAATGGAGAATTAATTTTATTTGGGGAATTTTGTCAAATACTTGAAATAGTTTTGATTAGTTCTCCTTTGTTGCGCAGAGCATGCAAATATAACAGGGACAGTCAGCACAGCTGATGTAGGTATTGTCATCTAATGTCTACTGGGTTCAATTTAGTCTTTTTAAGGCACAAAAAAAAATTATTTAAAATGTAATTGTAGCCATCATATGTAAATATATATTATAAGCAAAGTTTCCATAAGAATAGTTTTTTTCTGGATGGTTAATATTTCAGGCCTGTCTTGCATTAAAAAAAAAAAACCTTTAGACTTTGGGTTAAAGTTTGCAAACATTGCTTAATTCATTGGTTAAACTGTAAACCTGCAATTTTGTTTGCTTCACATGACCTAAAATGTGGAAAATCCAGCTTTGCATATTTCATTTCTCCATACCCCAGAATGTCTTCCAAAGTGAGGTAAGAAATGATGAATCTGGCAGATTCCAGAGAAATCTTGTCTGCACCCACAGCATCATGCCTTTGCAGGTTACAGGATGAGTTCGGATGCACCTGCTAACGCAGTCAGAGGTGCTGCCCACTGCCCGCAATCCAACTCGCTGAGAGCCTATCGTGTCCCATTAATTAGTTCCAGTTTTGATCACCAAACCACATGGCCAACTGTCCAAAAAGTCACTTGCGAAGAAATGGCTGCTGGTGCTAACAGGAACTGCCACTTACTCCGCGCTGGTGAGGCGCTTCACATTCAGCTCACTGAGCCTTCAACAGGGCTTATCCTGAGTTTCAGCTATAGCAACCTAGAAATTAGACTTTGTCACCATGCTGACTTTACAGAGGACGGTGTGCTAACTCTTTCATCTCTGATGCCCGGATCGACGGGCATGCATGCACACAGGTGTGTGTGTGTGTGTGTGTGTGTGTGTGTGTTTTGGCACATTTGCATTACAGCATTGCAATCATAAGCACAACTTCGAGTCAGCCTGCCTGGCTTCAAAGCCCAGCTTTCACAGCTTGGTGTCTGTGACCTTGAGTTAGAGCTGAAGCTCTTTGTGTCTCAGTCTCCTCATCTATAAAATGGGGGTGATAATTGTAACACCTAATTCACAGTGCTCTGGGGATGAAACAGACTAACACATGTGAGGCCTCTGGTGCCTGGCATATAATAAATGCTTAGAGAATATTAGCTTATACTAGTATTATTGTATATAGTAGATTTATATATATATATGTGTGTGTGTATATATATATATATACTCTATACAGACCAAGACACATAACCGAAAACAACTTAGGGGAGGTGAATGGACTTGAATTTCCCAAGTAGCACAAGGGTCCTACACATACGTTGACGGTGGTAGGAATGAACGCTCCTCTTGCTGGCTGCAGGGGGGCTCCCCATGGCTGCAGCTCACAGTGGGATCACCAAAGCCCCCATCTCTTCCCACATCCTGGCTGTGAAGCCGAGTTTCTGGTTTGCAGGTGAAGCCACTGTGTCTCCAGGAATTTCTAATTAAGATGAGCGTCATCTTACACCTTACTTCAGCTCGGCTGAACGTGGCTTTGGTCCATGAGGAGGAAAACAAGGAGCTGTGTGGGTCTGGCCTCACGTGAGAGGGCCAGCAGGGACTCAGGGGCTGGGTGCTGTCAGAGCAGGCGACTGGAGAAGGCTGCAGGGGGCTGCCCCAGGGCGCGTGGAAAAGCAGCGCGCGCCTGAGCCTGGCCCAGCGGTGCAAGAGAGATGCGAGTGACTGTCTACTCTGGGCGCACGTGGCAGACTTGGCAGGGATGAGCCACCTCTGGGAAACCATTGCTTAGCCACCGCCAGAGAGAGGAGAAAGCCGACACTGGGAAAATTCACTGCGCCTGAGTCACATCTGGGCAGTGAGTTGGCCCTGCCCATGGCTCTCCAGGTATTGAGTATTGTTGCCTGTTGCAAGCAGCTCCAAAACTAGGCCTCCAGGATTTGTGCTCAGCCACCACCGACCCCTCTTCCCCCTCTTCTCCCAGAGGCCTCTTTGATTAGGTGGAGCTCGGCAGGGGCCAAGGATGTGGTTCTGTCATAACAGGTGAACCACTCCTCTCAAGGGCCAAGAGCTCTGGGTTTGAATCCTGATTCTGACGCTGATTATCTGCGTGACTCAGGAGAGTGACTTAAGTTTCTTGGGCCCCAGTTGCACTATCTGTAAAATGAGCATAGCCAACGGCTGTTAACAATAATTGAATGGAAAAATAACCATTGCAGCCACATACATCTTAATTACAAATCATTAAAACTACAGTAGTTTAGCATTCATTTTTTTTTAACTGGCAGAGTTAGTGAGAGAGAGAGAGAGAGAGACAGAAAGAAAGGTCTTCCTTTTCCATTGGTTCACCCCCAAATGGCCGCTATGGCCGGCGCACTGCGCCTATCCGAAGCCAGGAGCCAGGTGCTTCCTCCTGGTCTCCCAAGCGGGTGCAGGGCCCAAGGACTTGGGACATCCTTCACTGCCCTCCCGGGCCACAGCAGAGAGCTGGACTGGAAGAGGAGCAACTGGGACAGAATCCGGCGCCCCAACCAGGACTAGAACCTGGGGTGCTGGCGCTGCAGGTGGAGGATTAGCCTAGTGAGCTGCGGTGCTGGTCTAGTTTAGCATTCTTAACCATTGGTTTGAAAAAGGTATAAGACAAAGTTTTGCAAAACTGTATTTGCAGTAATACTGAAACACACATGCATTTCTTTCTTCTTTCTTTTTGTTTGCATTTTAAAGTTTAGCTCCCACATATTAGGGAGAACATGCGAGATTTGTCTTATTGGATCCAGCTGATTGTCTATATTCCCACTAGAGTCTTTTGCTTTTTACTTTTTAAACTTCTTATTTGGTGAAGTATTGAGAAATTTTAAAATTAAGCAATTTTATAATGTTATCTCAAAAACTGAAAAGGGAGAAAGAGTGGGAGGGAAGGGGAAGGGAGGGAGAAAGAGATAAAATCATTAAGTTCTTAGAATTCTATCTACAAATCACATTGAATCTGTTAAAAACTAATTAAAAATTAAAATTAAAAAATATATAATCATTATGTGGAAAAAGATAACACAGTAACACTCTCAATACAGAATTTTAAAAGGTATGAAATTAAATAAGATATTTTGCATTTTCTCTTATATATAAAAATTAGATGATAAATATTGAATCAGATTTGTCATCCAAATGGGTAAATGTCCTCTCTCCTACAATATTCAAAAATGACTGTCTGGAAGTAGTGAAAATGCATAGCCATTAAGATCCAAACAGTTGTTTTTCTGTTTGTCTGACTGCCACGTTCTAGGTACCTTTGCTGAGACAGAGTGCTTCTCTGTGTTGTTGCGTATTAGCTTTTTGTTAATTGAACAAAATAGCCGAGGCAGGCTACTGTATAAAGGAGAGAGGCTTACTCTGGCTCATGCTTCTGGATGTGCAGAGATCAGGGCCCCCATCGGGCCATGGCCTGGCTGCCAGGGTCCTGAGGCGGGGCAGGCAGCACAGGGTGCGAGACAGGAGCTCCTGGGGCTGTGTGGCCTCTCTCAATGCTGGGCTCCACCCTCTCGACCTAATCTGCTCTAACCACTTCTCTACAAAGCCCCCCCCCCCCCCCCAGATTCCCTCTCCCCCTCTTAATAGCATGCACATAACCTCAGGGCTAGGCACTCCTGCCCTAGCCTGGGGAGGGCCCGTGCCCTGCAAACCGCAGCACCCTCTTTGGCCATGGGCGTACACATCTGTGTCTTCTACTGTGTGGGGATCTCAGCTCGGGGCCATGCTGAAAAACTGCAATCAGGCAGAAAAAATCGTCAGGTGTGTAGGGACCTGTGGCTTCCGGATTCCTCCGGCCCTTCAAGAAGCAGCAGCACTCCCTCTCTTTGCTCCTCTAGATCGAGGCCGCCGTGGAGGCTGCGAGAGGGGCCTTTCCTGGCTGGTCCTCCCGGAGTCCACAGGAGCGCGCTAGGGTGCTGAACCAGGTGGCGGATTTGCTGGAGCAGTCCCTGGAGGAGCTGGCGCGGGCGGAATCCAGAGACCAAGGTGAGACCCTGTGCGCGCGATCTTTCTCTAGCAGAGCCGGGCTTGGTGCAGGTGCCTTCTCAGGCGACGCTTACAAAAGCTGTGACACACCACGCAGCTGCCGGCCCTACCCGGCCTCCTTCCACTCGATCAGGTGCGCTCTCGCCTCTTCAGCGCCCTGGATGGGACGCAGGACCCCTGTGATTCTTCACATCGCCCCTCAGCGCGTGCCCTGAGCTCAGCTCATTTCAGTCTCCTCCCGGGAGCTGGGACGCGCGTGGCAGCTGAGGGGCGGGCAGGAGGAGCGCAGCTGTGTGCCTGGAGGACACGCAGTACACACCACGTGTCTGGAAAGTGATGTGTGTGTGTGTGTGTGTGAGAGAGAGAGAGAGAGAGATGGGCAAATCCAGCCAGTATTTTCCCCCTCTGTCGCATGCACGGAGCCTGGTGACTGTGTCGGTGACGCGGTAGCATCGGCAAATTCATGGTGAATTCTATGAAGCGCTCACTCCACCAAGCGAAGATTATTGTCCTTAGGTTGGAACCCCTGGCCCTCCCCCCCCCTTTTTTAGAAAGATTTATTGATCTGAAAGCAGAGTGGACAAGAGGTGGAGACAGAGAGCTCTCTCATCTGCTAGTTTACTTCCCAGATGGCCGCAGCGGCCCGAGCTAGGCCAGGCGGAAGCCAGGGGATTCCTATAACTTCATAGACAATACTATCTATTCTTGTAAATGTCATTATATTTTATATGAGTTTATATAAATATATGTTATTATATGTTATACATGATCAGTGTGTGTGTGTGATGCAGGCTGGCCCGGGCTACGCTGGGGTACGTGTGGCAGAAAGCAGGTGGACGGAGGTGAAATACACCCACAATAATGGGGCCGCCTTCTTCCAGGGAAAACCGTCACCTTGGCTAGAACCATGGACATTCCACGGTCGGTGCAGAACTTCCGGTTCTTCGCCTCCTCCAGCCTGCACCACACGGCCGAGTGCACGCACATGGACCACGTGGACTGCCTGCACTACACCGTGCGCACCCCGGTGGGCATCGGTAGGTGCAGATAGACGGAGATTCTACGGAATGGAGCTCCGGGAGCAGACGCAGGACACGGAAGGAGCCGAGTTTTTCTGCTTTAACTGAGGCTTTGTCAGCCTCAAATGCCTGTTTGTCTTCTTTGGGTCACATTCCCTATTTACTCCTAGAGCATGATCTTGGAAGATCATGCGCAGAGTACATTCATTCCAGGACGTTTTTCCTACTTTGAGAATGCTTCAAAAATTTCATGGAAAAATGGTATTACCACATAAGCTTATTTTGAGTCAAAAAGTGCTGACATCCATGCATTGTTTTTTTCATAGTATACATTTTCCATGAACTTTTTGAAGACCCCTTGAATTCATGGGTTTCAAATTTTGGGACATATTGAATGTATCTGTTAATTCCATTTTCTACACACATTTTGAAGCACTCTTATATAATTAAAAAATAATCTATTTCCAGAGAGTGTAGTGGTTGTTTCTATGTGCTTATCTGAAAAGATGGAATAAAAGTTCAATCATAATTATATATACATTGATATGAATTAAATAAATTAGTAAGTGTAGGGCCTTAAAGTAATGCCAGGCACGTGGTAAATACGGCTCGACAGATGATTCACTTCCCTTAGTCATTTGTCTCTTTGGGGAAACTGATAAATATATATGCAATGACTAGAAGTGTCCACTTGATGTCACTGTTTGCCCTGATAAGAAACAATCAGCCTGCTCTTGCTTGTTACTTCTTGTGAATGTTAAGTTAAAAGGGAGGAAAATGAGACATTTTATTGCATGGATTCTTTGAGCTCTTTGGAAATCATATTTTCAAGAACATTAGAGAAACATCTAACTTCTATCTAAAAAAGTATGCTGATTTGTTATGCCACAAAAATCCTCTAATCTCCCCTGAAGAACAGTTTTTTTCAATGGGAAATTAGTAATCTAAATTATATACTTATTTTCATAGCACAGGCTTGAGGGCAGAGTATCAAATGAGCCAAATCCATTTCCTTGTTCATAAGGTAGATTTTATATTTGTGTGTTTTATGATTGGAAACCCGGGCAGTTTCAGACGATTGCAGGGAGCCACACTCTAGATGCTGGTAACCATGACAGGTGGGAGTCGACAGAGGATTGTTACTTGAAAATCTTCTGGGGCTGGGCATTGTGATGCAGTGGGCTAAGCCACCCCTTGGGGCACTCGCATCCCTTATCTGAGTGCCTGGGAGAGGGTCCTACCTCTGCTTCTGCTCCAGCCTCCCGCTAATGCACCCATATTAATCTTCTAAAAAAATGTTTACTGGGACAGGCGTTGTGGCACAGTGGGTTAAGCCACCATGTGGTATGCCCACATCCTGTGTTAGAGTGCCTGGGATTGAATCCCACCTCCGCCTTCCAGTCCGGCTTCCTGCTCGCTAATGCACCCTAGCAGGCTGCGGGTGATGGCTCAAGTACTTGGGCCCCTGCCACCCACAGGAGACATGTGGATGGAGTTCCAGGTTTCTGGTTTTGGTCTGACCAGAAATCTGGGGAGTGAATCAGTGGGTGGAAGATCTCTTTCTCTCTCCTCTCTCTCTGTTACTCTGCCTTTGAAAGAAATAAAAGTAAATTTAAACATCTTTGAAGAAAATCTTGTGAGTAGTCTAGGTGGACAGCACAGTGTGGATATCAGAGCTCTCTGGCCTTGTGGGGAGGAGAGCCCTACCAGGAACGTGCAGAACATTTGTGCTCCCATTTTACGACTTATCCTGTATAGCTAGGAATTTTATGTCCCAATTCACAAAAGATTAGAAACAGGTGAGAAACTTGATAGAAGAAATAGCAGCTGGACAGTGTAATAAGGTGGAGGGATACATCTTTTATTAGTTTATTATTTTTAAAGATTTAATTATTTATTTGAAAGGCAAAGTCAGAGAGAGAGAGGGAGAGAGAGAGAATATTCCATCCACTGGTTCACTCCCCAAATAGCTGCAAAGGCCAGGGCTGGGCCAGACTGAAGCCAGGAGCCAGAGGCCTCATCTGGATCTCCCACATGAGTGCAGGAGTCCAAGGATTTGGGCCATCTGCTGCTGCTTTCCTAGGCCATTAGCAGGGAGCTGGATGGGAAGAAGAGGCACCTGAATGGGATGCCAGCGCCTCAGGCGGTGGCTTAACCTGTTATGTTGTGATGTTGGCCCTGATACATTTTTTATTTATTTTTATTTTTTGATATGCTTTTTAAACAGCAAAATTCAGCCAGTGAATCTCAAAATGTATCACATCCTGGAATGGAATAGTGAGGGACCTTTTAGTCCTGGACCTTACGTTGTGCTGTTCATGGTTATAATTGTAAGCCATCTAAAAATGAGTGAATTGTGTTGATTTTACTGTGCTTTAAAAAGTACAGTTGTGCAAATATGTTTTTAAAGATTTCTGTTTATTGCAAAGAGAAAGAGAGAGAAAGATGGGGGTTAGGTTGGAGGAGAAAGGAATCTCCTATCTGCTGGATCACCCCCTCAAATGCCCACAAAGGCCAGGGATGGTCCATGCTGAAGCCAGAAGCTAGACACTCAATCTGGGTGGTAAGGACCCAAGAAATCAGGCTTTGCTGACTCCCAGGGTGGGCATTAGCAGAAAGCTAGAATTAGAAGCAAAGCTAGGATTTGAACCGGGGCATTCTGATATGGGATGAAGGCAACCCAAATGGTGTGTTAACCGCTGAACCCAGTACCCACTCCATTTATAATGTTTTTTAGAAGTTACCTACAAATGCAACTTGAAAAGGTACTGCATTAATAGCCCCTTAGGCCTGTCTGCCTCCGAGGGGCGTGGCTTCCTGGACAACGATTCTGTTCTCAACCCTCAGCTGGTCTCATCAGTCCTTGGAATTTGCCGCTCTACCTGCTGACCTGGAAGATAGCCCCGGCCATTGCTGCCGGGAACACGGTGATAGCCAAGCCCAGCGAGCTGACATCCGTGACTGCCTGGATGCTGTGCAGACTTCTGAACAAAGCAGGTAACGGCGGGTGTGGGGTGAGGGGGACACAGGGTTTTAGCAGAGTTGCATCAAATAGAAACCTTCTGTACAGTAGTGAAGCAGCTTCCAGGGGCATTGCTGGGTGTGGACGCCTTGATCCTTTTTTTTTTTTTTTTTTTTAAGATTTATTTATTTATGTTGGCGCCGCGGCTAAATAGGCTAATCCTCCGCCTGTGGCACCGGCACACCAGGTTCTAGTCCCGGTCGGGGCGCCGGATTCTGTCCCGGTTGCCCCTCTTCCAGGTCAGCTCTCTGCTGTGGCCAGGGAGTACAGTGGAGGATGGCCCAAGTGCTTGGGCCCTACACCTGCATGGGAGACGAGGAGAAGCACCTGGCTCCTGGCTTTGGATCAGCGCAGTGCACCAGCCATGGTGGCCATTGGAGGGTGAACCAATGGCAAAGGAAGACCTTTCTCTGTCTCTATCTCTCTCACTGTCCACTCTGCCTGTCAAAAAAAAAAAAAAAAGCTTTATTTATTTATTTGAAAGCAGAGTTACACAGAGAGAGAAGGAGAAACACAGATTGAGAGAAAGTTGCGCTGATCCGAAGCCAGGAGCCAGGAGCTTCTTCCAGGTCTCCCATGTGGGTACAGGGATCCCAAGGACTTGGACCATCATCTACTGATTTCCCAGGCCATAGCAGAGAGCCGGATTGGAAGTGGAGCAGCCGGGTCTTGAACCAGCGCCCATATGGGAAGCTGACACTGTAGGTAGCAGCCTTAACCGCCACGCCACAGCACCGGCCACTCCTTGATCCACTTTTAAGAAGTCTCCTTCACCCACAGTGTCCTCTCACTGCTTTCTCCCCTCAGTGCCAAGACAGAGCTACTGCAGGATTGTCCCGGACCCCTGGGGAGTTGACTGGCAGCCCTGTGAGAGCAGAGCTGTAGCATAGAAGTGTCTGGGTCATACTACAACATGCAGCCTGCCCCAGGTAGCATCTTCAATAGTCAAGCTCACTGGCTGTCTGAACCACAGGTTAATCTCAATGTAATAACACTATTGCCAGGTGCTCCTATGGTTTCTGTGGCTGTAGAATACCTAGGAGACACAGCCCATTTTTAAGACTCTGGAATGCAATCCCTCAGTTGTCCCGGATTTGGGAAAGCTGATAAAATATGGCCTCCTACCAGCACATCAAGGATTTCATGTTGGCTTCCGGTCCTCTTTCTGGTCGTAGTTTGATGGTTACACCCCCCCCCCCCCCCCCCCGTGTACGTTCCTGACTTTGCCCCGCCTGACCCCGTGGTGGTGTGCGGAGGTAGCAGGCAGGCAGCCCCAGTAGGTGACCTGCGGGAAGGCCCTTGCTTTAGGTCCCTCAGCTGACTGTTCCCTAGGCCAGGGTGGGGATGGTAGCTGCGAGCTGGGGGCGGACTGGCCGTCCCTCTGTCTGTCAGCCTCTTCTGCACTTACTGCCTCTCAGTCCACAGGGAAGCTACTGCTGACCACTTCCATGTCCACACGGTGGGTGCTGGGAAGAGTCCATCTCCCCCTCTCTTTTCTGGGCACCTTTTCTTGAAGTAAAAACATGCACCCTAGGTAGGTCTCAGTGGGGCTTAGCCAGGAGCAGAGATACAATTCCAAAAGCTGACACATGGCAGGATTTCTGGCCCCATTGCAATGCCAGCCTGGAGGAAGAGAGACAGAAATCAGCTGGCAAACCTAGCAGCCCTGTAGACACAACACGATTGTGCACATGAGTTTCTCTTTGGACACCACATACAGCTTCCCAAGTTTCCAATCCAGTTCTAGCAGGGATACTGTACACTGAGCATCAGTTCAAATTTTTCCTTTACTTAACAATTACTTCTTAGCCTGCTGACTGTTTTTCAATCTTACTCTGCCTCAGTGTACCCGTGGGTGGAGAGATAGTGACAGTACTTCCTATCTGAGAGGGTGCTGTGAGGGCGAGAGAGGGGACAGGACTGCTGGTGATGGCTGGCCCACAGGACGCACCCAACGAACGTGAGCCTTTACCAGAGTTCTTTGGACCAAATTAGGCTGTGGCACCGGGGATACAATGGAGAACAGAAACCAGACACCATTGTGCCTTCGCTGGCATCCCTTCTCATCCTGGACGTAGACGAGTGCTTGCGGACAGCACAAGCCAATACATCTGGGCGCAGGGCAGGAGGTTCTGGTGTTCAAAGAGTAGGGCTCCTGTTCTTGGTTGACATTGGTTCTGGGAGGCTGGTTTTAGAGAGCAGTGGTTCTGCCCCTATCATGGGGCTCTGGACTTCCAACTCAAAACAGCCTCCCTGGGGAGCCTTCCCCCACTCCTGTGAGCCAAGTTAGTCCATCTCTTCTCTGTGCCTGTGCGGCATTTATGTATGTATTTCATCCCACGCTGTGACTCCTGGATACCACATCGGAGCAGGGCGCTGCTGCCCCTCTGGTCTTGCCCTGCGTTCTTGGCCCCCAAGGCCTTGTAGGTACTGTGGAATGAATTACCTAGGGTGTACTCTTACCTGCCTTGCTCCAGAACAAAACACTCAGAGAAATTCCACTTGGTGGGGCCTATAGGCAGGGGGTGACTCTGTAGTCTTTGCCGTTAAACTAGAGACAGTCATAAAAGTTCTGTCAAACCCCCCAAGAGCTTCCCCCACATACACCCGCAGCCGCTCCACGTCACCTGCAGTCCGCATTGCAGCGAGGAGAACTGCTGGCACTAATACTATTTCCTATGCAGGTGTTCCTCCAGGTGTGGTCAATATTGTGTTTGGAACAGGGCCCAGGGTAGGTGAGGCCCTGGTGGCCCACCCAGAGGTGCCCGTGATCTCCTTCACTGGGAGCCAGCCCACAGCTGAGCGCATCACCCAGCTGAGTGCTCCCCACTGCAAGAAGCTCTCCCTGGAGCTGGGGGGCAAGAATCCTGCTGTCATCTTTGAGGACGCCAACCTGGAGGAGTGCATTCCGGAAACCGTCAGGTCCAGCTTTGCCAACCAGGTATGTCCTCCGGGGCCCGCCCCCTCCCTGTGGCCCTGTCAGGCGGGATCCGTTTCATCACAGGGTGAAGCCCAGGAGTGACAAGGTCCATCCAGCCCCATTTCAGTTGCAGGAGGCTCGGTACCCCGCATTGTTCTATTGACTGCCCATCTGACCCCAGCGTCGACCAGTGATCTCGTGCACTCACGGTTTCTGTTGAGCAAGCTCCTCTGCTTGGGTTTCACACTTTTTTAAAAAAATTTATTTATTTATTTGGAGGTAGAGTTATAGACAGTGAGAGGGAGAGACAGAGAGAGAAGAGTTCCATCAATGGTTCACTCTCCAGAAGGCCACAACAGCCAGAACTGTGCTGATTCAAAGCCAGGAGCCAGGAGCTTCTTCTGGGTCTCCCACGTGGGTGCAGGGGCCCAAGCGCTTGGGCCATCCTCCACTGCTTTCCCAGGCCATAGCAGAGAGCTGGGTCGGAATAGGAGCAGCTGGGATTAGAACCGGCGCCCATATGGGATGCGGGCACAGCAGGCGGAGGATTAACCTACTGTGCCATGGCGCTGGCCCTGGGTTTCACACCTCTCATCAGGTACCAGCCACAGGCAAAATGACTGATTTTGCTGCTCCATGCTTCTCTATTCCTTGATCCACAAAGTTGTCCTGTCCCTTCTTACCATCCCAACGTCTCCTTTGCAGTAAATTGTGTTCTCTCCTGAAAAGTATCCCCAATGCATTCACACATGAGTTAGAAATATCCAAAATGGCCTAGAGCAGCTTTCTCTATGTGGAGTCTGTGATGAGCTTCAGGGAGTCTCCTGGCATTGTATAACAGATGTTTGTTGAGTGCCATAGTTTCAGCAGATCCTTCAAGGCCACAGCATCCAAAGGGTTAAGAACGCTAGAGCAGATCAGCTAGACAGCAAATGCCTGCTTTTGTGCAGTATTTTTTGGCACTGATGCCTAGAAGGCTTTTCTCCAAAGGACATTTCATTTAAGCAGAGAATAAAGACTTAAGCCAAAGACTTAGAACTTCCATAGAAGGAAAGCAGAGGGGAATGAGATGGGGATCTGTATTGACCTAACTCAGGTCATATTGGCTGTCAGGTAGCCTTTTGAATCTCTATCTTAAACTGTTTAAAAAATGTGTAAAGTTTCATTTTATTTGAAAGGGAGTGTGAGAGTAAGAATGACAGCAAGAATGAAAGAGAGAGAGAGAGAGAGAGAGAGAGAGGGAGGGAGAGAGGGAAAGAGAGAGCGAGTGCATCCATCTGCTGGTTCACTCCCCAAATGCTTGCAACAGCCAGGGTTAGGCGAGGCTGAGACGGGGACACTGGAATCCACCTGGGGCTCCCGCGTGGGTGGCAGGGATAAAATTACTTGAGCTTTCACCTGCTGCATCCCAGGGTGCACATTACTGGGCAGCTGGCATCAGAAGTGGGAGAGCCAGGACTCACACTGGTCACTCCAACATGGGGTGTGGGCATCCCAAGTGGCACCTGAACGGCTTCACCAAACACCCGCCTCTGAGCCTGTATTTCTTCATCAGTAAAATCATCTGAGCAGTAATGATGCCTCCCAACAGGATTTTTGTGAGTGTATAGAGAAAAATAGAACCTATAATGTTATTTTCGTAATTATAATTGTAATTATTTCTCTCCTGTCATTCCTAGAGGAAGTGGTAGAAAGGGTTTCTGGGGGCAGGTGTTGTGGTACAGCAGGTTAAGCCATTGCTTGGGAATCAGCAGCCCATACTGGAGTGCCAACTGCCCTGCTTCCTATCCAACTCCCCGCTAATGTGCCTGGGAAGGCAACAAACTATGTCCCAAGTGCTTGGGCCTCTGCCAGCCATGTGGGAGACCTGGCTTTAGCCTGACTCAGCCCCAGCCGTTCTAGCCATTTGGAAGTGAGCCAGCAGATGGAAGATATCTCATTCTCTCTGTCTCTCTCTGCCTTTCAAACAAATAAATAAATCTTTAAAGAAAAAAGAAAATATTTCTGGATCAATAGACAGGCAATTTTTTTTTTAATGATGATTAAATCAGATCAGACCTATTGTCATGTTTAATCCCAGTGAGAGTCAAGTTGGGAATTGATAATTTCTTCTTCTTTTTTTTTTTTTTTTTTTACAGAAGATCAGTTTAGTATACATTAAGTAAAGATTTCAACAGTTTGCACCCCCATAGAAACACAAAGCGAAATATACTGTTTGAGTACTCATTATAGCATTAAGTCTCAATGTACAGCACATTAAGGACAGAGATCCTACATGAGGAGTAAGTGCACAGTGACTCCTGTTGTTGACTTTACAAATTGACACTCCTATTTATGGCATCAGTAATCTCCCTATGCACCAGTCATGAGTTTCCAAGGCTATGGAAGCCTTTTGAGTTCGCCGACTCTTATCTTGTTTAGACAAGGTCATATTCAAAGTGGAGGTTCTCTCCTCCCTTCAGAGAAAGGTACCTCCTTCTTTGAAGACCTGTTCTTTCCACTGGGAACTCACTCACAGAGATCTTTCAGATGGCTCTTCAGGGAGGCTTTGTTGAGTTGGAAGTCCAGAGCCCCATGATAGGGGCAGAAGCCAGAGTGATAGACAGGCAATTTTATGGTATAACTAATTTAATCATTAAAATAAGCACCAAGTGAACCATTTTCCCAAGTGTTTTGATGGCTTAGAGAGATGCGAGGGACAAATTTTGCGACTGAGAAATGGAGGTGAGAGCGCGTGAGGTGAACTCTGTGTTCAGGCCAGGGATTGCTGACCTGGGGATCTGGGCTGTGGACTTCCCAGCCCCAGAATCAGGCTGGATTGAGTTTGCCCAGGGAGCCTTCCTCTGGGGTGGAGGAGACTGTGGGGGTGGTGTCTTTAAAATGTCAATGGGAAAAGGGACATGGGCCAAATGAATTGGCCAATTCAGGGCAATAAATAGGTTTAAGGTAAAATAAGTGCAGCAGCTGATTACGTAGTTGAGTGATGAGTTCCAAGCGGTACAAACTGCTTTGCTTTTCTGAAGGATCTGTGCGTTCTTGGGGTGTACTCACCCAGAACCTCAGTCGCTCACCATACGGTGGAGAAGCTCATCCCCCACAGGAATAGGATGAGGGAAGCACCTGCACAGCTGGCACTCGCTGTGTGATGCTGTCCTTCTCGCCTTGCCTCCAAAGTCGTCTTTCCAGGGGTCTTGGTATCACCCATGCATTTTTGGCGCGAGTAATGGAAATTCAGTAAAACCCTCAAGTCATTTTATCATGTCTTCCTCCCCGACAAGGTACAGGGCACTTGTGCAAATGAAACCATCATGTGTTTGGACATTCACCAAGCCAGACATACCGCTGTTTAATGTGGACAGTGAGCCTTGGTCCGAAACCCAGCATAATTAGAAGCTTTCTGTTTTCTAGGATTGTCGTGTATATCGTGAAGGCCCAATACAGATGTGATGAGAAAGCCATTTAGCTATGGATTTACTTGTCCTACATGCACAAAGCTTTGAGATGTCAAGAACCATTGCTGGAGGCTACTACACGCCGTATTCAGTTGACTGAGAGGCTTGCTAAGGACCTCTCGTGTGAGCACCAGCATCTCGACTTCCTCCTCCCCTCCCCCCAGGAACCCAGGCTCTCCCTGGAGCTTATGTGTCCTTCCAGGGAATACAGTTACTATCTGCTCTGTGGCTTGGGCCAAAAATCTAGGGCTCATCCTTGTTCTTGCCCTAAACCCCACCTCTCACCCTCCCACCTTCCCGCCGATTCTGTCTTTAACACGTATCCCAAACACCGTCTCTTCTCCACTGCATCGGTGCCAGTCTCTCACACTTTGGGAGCTCCATGCTCCTGAGAGAATCTGTTTAATCTGACAGATCCCATAGTCTCTTTCCTCATTGCTGCCTCCCTGGTCTAAGCTACTGTCACTTATCTGGACTTCCAGAGCATTCTCTTAACTCTCCACTCTGTTCCCACTCATTTTTTTTTTCCTTTCTATTTTCCAGCTGCCAGAATGATCCTTTTAAAATGTAAATCCGATCGCATCCCCCTGCAGCTTAAAACCTTCTACTATCTTTTCCTGAGACAGAGAATAAATTGCAAGCGCCTCCCGAGCCCACGAAGCTTGTGATCTCGTGATGTCGCCTTGCTTGCCTTCGACCTCCTCTCCTACCGGCTCCTGTCCTTGCCTTCACTGCCATTCTCGGCCCCACCCGCCTCCTTGTCTTTCCCGACATTCCCCATGCTTGTTCCCCCCCCACCACCACCGCAGGTCCTCCATTCTTGCTGTGAGAATCTCCCCCTTCAGATCTTTGCCTGTCCAGCTCCTTCCCATCAATCAAGACTTCCTTCAATCATCTTCTCTTGGCAAGCAGCTTCCATAGCTCCCATTAATCAAGTAGCTGCCCTCCCACCAGTTGCTATTTTCATCCTGTGCTTGATTTTTCTTGTATTGCTTTGAAAACTATGTGGAGTTATATTATTTATTGAGCTTATTTACTGGAGCTTTTCTTGTCTTCCCTGCAAGACTGTGTGTCCCATATGACATAGCACTGTGTGCCATTGTTCCATCTCAGTACCTGATACTCAGAATCCCATGGTGAGTGATCCATGAGATAGGGTGTGCTCAAGTCTTGTCATTGTCCTCATTCCTGGCAGGGTGAAGTCTGTCTCTGCACCAGCAGGATCTTTGTCCAGAAGAGCATCTACAGAGAATTTTTAAAGAGATTTGTAGAAGCTACCAGAAAGTGGAAAGTTGGCATTCCCTCTGATCCATCGGCCAGCATGGGAGCTCTGATAAGCAAAGCACATTTGGAGAAGGTAAGAAATCTTTGCCATGTAAGTTTCAGAAAAAGTTCTCATTCAAAGTGCAGCTCAGTGCAGGCACCACTCACATCAGGCTTCAAAATACTATTGATTCCTACCCTAGCTTTGAAAAGTGATGACCCTTGAGAACTTGTTTTTAGATGTGGGTCTGAACATTTGAGATATGAATATGCAAGTGTAGTTCATGTTCAAGTAGCATTCACGTGAAATTAGTAAACTTAACAAGAGGGTAAGGAGATACCACCCGTAGATTGGAGAAGGCACATTTCAAAACATGGAGATCAGCTAATGAGGATGGTGTGGCTCAAAAATGGCAGAGAATTCCATAGGCAAGTTTGCCTTTCTGGTTTATAACAGATGGAAAAATGAGCACAAACAATGCAAATTGTGTGGGCGATAGCCAGTGAGGTGACCAGTGGTAGCCCATCTGATAGAAACCATTGGTGGTCTCTGAGTGATTTATGGAATTCCTATCTTTCGGGTCATTTTAATTCACCAGCAGATGTGACTCCCAAAATAAGTCATAGATTTTGCAATTAGAAGGACCTTGTTTTTAGCTGAGAGATCTGAGGCACACCAAAGAGAATGCTGTTATTTGAATGATTTGTGTCCCCCTCAACTCATGCAGGAGTTTAACCCCTAAATGCTTATGTTAATAGTTTTAAGAGCTTGGAAACATAGTTCTACAGCTGTTTATAACTAGGGCTTTGGAAAGTGATTAGATTGGGTCATTGGGAGTGGGGACTCCATGACCAAATCCTGGTGGCTTTATAAAGAGGGGGAGGGAGACTACACCTGTATCAGTCAGTTTTTCATCCCTATAGAAAAATACATAAGAAAAGGTACTTATGAGAGGAGGAGGATTATTTTGGCCCACAGGTCTGGAGGTTCACAGTGCAAGATTGAGTAGGCCCTGTTGGTTTGGCATCTGTTGAGATTGGTGGAAGGCAATGAGAGAAATGTGCAGAGGAAGGATCACACACATGGTAAACCAGGAAGGAGAGAAGGAACAGCTGGGCTCACCTCAGGCTTTTATAGCTAATGCTTTTGCAAACACTGCCTTTTGATGGCATGTCCCCAGGGACATAAGGACTTCCCTCTGGGACAACTTCCTAGATACCATAATTCAGTTGAGTTTGTATTCTCTTTGTTTCACCAACTTATGACTTTGGAAATTCTCCATCTGTGTAAGTGTGGGAGCCATATCCTATTCAAACCATACCATTCTTCCCCGGCTCCCCTAAAGTCCCACCCTTTGCATATACAGCATACAATCAGTCCATTCTAACAGTTCCAGAGTCTTAACTCAGCCCAACATTAGTTCAAAAGTTTAAAGTCCAAAATCTCATCTGAGACCCAAGGCAAGTCTGTAAAAATCCAAGTCGCATTCTTCCAAGATACAGTGCTGAGACAACCATAGGGCTTACATTGCCATTCCAAAAAGGAGTGACAGATAAGTACAAAGGATTCACTGGACTAAAGCAAAGCCAAACACTAGAAAGGCAAGCATTAAATTCCAAAGCTTCGCGTCTGGCAACCTGGGCACACTGTGGCGGGGCAGCCCCTCCCATGCACTGCAGGAGGCGACAGCCCGTGCTTCAGTTCTCATCAAAGGTTGGGCTCTTGTCTCTGCATTCCCACCGGGCATTGCCACTGTAGGGACTCTGCAGCAGCTCTGGCCCCACATTTCTGCTTGGCATTGCCTTAGTGGAAGTTCTCTGAAGTGGCTCCAACCCTGAAGCAGCTTCCTGCCTTGGCCCTCTGCCCACGTGGCTGCACACAAATGTCTGGGCTTTCCCGGGCAGGTGCACATTGCTGGTCACTCTGCCTTCTTTGGGTCTCCACATTGACTGCACTCCCACACCTTCACCAGGTATCATCCCATGAGGGTCTCAATGCAGGGGCTGCAGTCCTGCAAAAACCACTCTGCCTGGCTTCCCTGCTTTCCTTTGCAATCTCAGTGAAAGCCACCATGACCCCATAACTCTTGGATTCTGCAGGTGATGCTAAGGTCAGCTACTAACAGAAGTTGCACCTGAGCCTGCTTAAACCAGGGCTGCAGTATCTTTTTTTAAAAAAAAACAATTTATTTTATTTATTTGAAAGACAGAGTTACAGAGAGAGGTGGATACAGAAAGAGAGGTCTTCCATCCGCTGGTTCACTCCCCAGAGGGCCGCAATGGCTGGAGCTGTGCTGATCGGAGCCAGGAGCCAGGAGCTTCTTCCTGGTCTCCCACACGAGTACAGGGGCCCTTGGGCCATCTTCTGCTGCTATCCCAGGCCATAGCAGAGAGCTGGATCGGAAGAGGAGCAGCCAGGACTAGAACCAGTGCCCATTTTGAGATGCCTGCGCTCCAGGCCAGGGCTTTAACCCGCTGCACCACAACGCCGGCCCCGCTGTAGTAGTCTTGGCGCACTTATCCAGCAAGCCCGGATTTGGAGCTGGTCCGGGGCAACAGGATCTCTGGGACTCTTTTCTGAAAGGATTCTTCCCTGGAAGATCTTTGAAACACATTTGTGCTTCTAAACCTCTGAGCCTGCGGTGGGAGGGGCGGAAATGCCTTCCTTGCCATGGTGCGACAGAAGCTCGGTTCCCGACACGGTAACCACCTCCATCTGTCCTGTTCCTGTCAGCATTCTGGCCTTCTGAGCCCTCACCAGAATTTCCCCTGACGTTCTGCTTACTGCATTTTAGGCTTTTATCAGCCTGCTCCTCCAAACTCTCCCAAACTTCCAATCTCAAAGGTTCTTCCGCATCTTCAGGTATGGTTATGACGACAGCCTTTTTTTTTTTTTTCCTAGTATCAATTTTCTGTGTTTGTTAGTTTTTTTTTTTTAAACAGGCAGAGTTAGACAGTGAGAGAGAGAGAGAGAGACAGAGAGAAAGGTCTTCCTTTTTCTGTTGGTTCACCCCCCAAGTGGCCACTAAGGCCGGTGCATTGCGGCCAGCACGCTGATCCGAAGCCAGGAGCCAGGTGCTTCCTCCTGGTCTCCCATGCAGGTGCAGGGCCCAAGGACCTGGTCCATCCTCCACTGCACTCCTGGGCCACAGCAGAGAGCTGGACTGGAAGAGGGGCAACCAGGACAGAACTGGTGCCCAACCGGGACTAGAACCCTGGGTGTCGGCGCCACAGGCGGAGGATTAGCCTATTGAGCCGTGGCACCGGCCAGTTAGTTTTTTGTTGCCATAACCAAATACACAAAAGAAGTTACTTATGGAGGAAGGAGGTGTATTCTGAGTCATGGTTTTGGAGGTTCACAGTCCCAGAGGTGGTGGGCCCCATTTGCTTGGTATCTGATGAGGCTGGCAGATGGCAATGGCAGAGGACATGCAGAGGGAAGATCACTTGTTAAGACAGAGAGCAGAGAGAGAACAGCTAGGCCTGGGTCAAGCTTTTATAACCAAGTCTCTCACAAGAGTTACCTTCTGATGTCATACCTCCTATGATCTAAGGACCTCCCTCCAGCTCCAGGCCCACATCCTAGACATCATAATTGGATTGAATTTCCACCTTCTTGGAACCATCAACGTACAACTTTGGGATTAAACTGTCTGCCTGCTTTGGGACTCATATCTGATTGAAACTACAGCAACACAGAAAAGAGAAACAGGTGTACTCCACAGTGTGCTGCAGCCAAGGCAGCTCCTTGCCAAAGCCTATAGGGTGCTCTTTGCACTTGGAATGTCCAGAACTATGAGTCAAAAGAAACCTCTCCTCTTGGTAAGCAGCCTGCCTTAGGTATTTTGTTGCAGTAAGGAAAGAATGACTGACGAAAGAAGACTGTCCTCATCAGTCGGCAAATGAGGAAAAAGAGCCTTTACTTGGGTTTGTAGGGATCTCTGATACTGCAGAACGCATTGGCAGATTTGTTACATTTAACTTTGAACTTCACAACATTGTGAAGCCTAGATGCAGGTAGATGGGAAGAATGCAGTGGCTTGATGGTTTCTTTTTATTTCTGCTATGTTCTTAGTGGACTAGAAAGCATGGTGCAGGGGGAAGAGGCGTTGAAGGCTTCAAGAGGGAGGGGAGGGCATGGATTATGTGGCAAGAAACCAGGAGAAAGGGTAGGGGAACGACAGAGCAATTAGCAGGGTAACTCCAAAGGCTCATTTGAGGTTATGGTTATTTGTGTAGAAGCCAACTAGCATGGGCGTTTTTCTCCAGCCAAGTCTACCTACAAATCTGCAGGTGCTTAGGCAGCTGTGCCAGAAAGTCCATGGGGACCCACAGTTGTGGATGTTCTCCCCTTCACAGAATGAGGACTCACCGGGTGCAAAAGGCTCACATTGTCTGTCCTCTGGCTGTTCCAGGGTCTGTAGGGTTTCTAGGGCCGCATGCCTGCCCATCCACATGTGAGGGTGACAGGTGGAAAACAGCTTCAGTTCTCTCCTGAGTGCTTCCTGGGAGACAGGAAGGGGCAAAATGGAAGTTAGCACCAGTGAAACAATTCAAAATATTTGACTTTTCTCTATCAATGATTTGTGGTGGTGGTGGTGTGTGTGTGTGTGTGTAGAGAGAGAGAGAGAGAGAGAAAGAGAGAGAGATTGATGCCATACATAGACTCACATGGGTAGCCATGGTTTTTCTTATCTTACTCTAAGTATTTGTCTCTACCTAGCAGCATAATGAACCCAGGTCATTGACAGGTTCAGCAGGTTCCAATGCATTATAATTACCATGGGCTTTAATAAAGCATTTAAAAATATTGTCCTTGCTTGACCAACCACAGGAGTCTTCTTTTATTATTTATATTTTAAGCTTTAACATGTATGGAACTTACAACTGTTGAAAAATTAAATGTTCAGCATGGTAATGATTCACGAACAACACTAACGAGGTCTACTAATGTCCTGGCATAGGTAGCACGCTGTACGTATTTAAGACATGCAGCACTGGATAGGCCAAGACAGGACAGGGCACCCAAGCGGGAGTGACTTCAACCCTGGCAGGGCTGTGCTCCCACAGTGCCCTGGTAAGAAGGGTCCTGAG